AAGTAAAATTTTAGACAAAAATATTCGTTGATTTTGATGGGAAAATTATATTTTTTAAAACAAAGGAAACTGGTAAAAATCACTTCCTTCAACAGAAGTTGAAACATCCATTTGTTTTCCCTTATCTCTTAAAAATCTTAGTCACCCTGGGAACTGTCAACCCCTCAGTAAAATCCCTTTTTCCTGTTCACGTGGAAAAATACGAATTGATGATTGGTGAAAATTTATGAGAAAGAGGAAGAATCTAGCATCTTTCAGAGAGTACGCCAGAAGATCCAAAAGAGGACAGACGTATTCCACACCAGCTCCCGAAGGCCAACACCCATAACCGATTCCCGAAGTCTCCTAAATAAATTATTAAGTCGATAAATATAGTGAAGAAAAAGATTTATTTATGTGCCGTGCAAGAACATAAGAAAGAACATTCCTCCAGAACCAAAGATGCGAGAAGAAGACAAAAAGACACATAATATGAGGTAGTATGATTTTTAACAGAAATTGTGAGCTCTCTCACTCGAAATAGCTTTATTCGAAGAATCGATATTGTAAAATCTTATTTATTTTTGTTTCATTAAATCTTTGTTTTATTTGTTATAAAAATGTCTTTCAAGTATCTGAAACAAAATGAGAAGTTCATCTCCAGTCAATATCAATACGCGTGTTAATCTGCGTACAACAAAACTGATTAACTGGTGTCGGGAATCCTGACAGAAGGAAGAGGGTGATTACATGATCATCTAATTCCACTTTAAATTAACATTCAAACTGTAAATTAACTTATTAGTTAAAGCCCTCTACCCTCGATTTCTTCGGACAGAAAACCATCCTTGTAAGACAAACAGAGGGCTATTTTCAAGGAATAGCTGCCAAGTAAGTGATACAAGAGTCTTAACTACTCCGTATCCCTGACTAGCACCTCCCAAGTCTATCACTGCACCTGAAGAACCACCAAACAGCCAATTTGTATCACATCTGTGTGGGCTGATTAAAGAATGTTATGGATTTGAAGAATGTGACAACAAAAACATTCAAGACTGACTCGAATGTGATGCCGATGACCGTGTCTATCAGATATTGTCAGACAATAAAATCATTGCCAGTGCCATCGACAATCAAGAACCTAGTGATAACAACCATGCTGAAAAAGGACCATCCAGTGAGGAAGCTTTTCACGGCCTTGAGACAGTTATGAAGTGGTTAGAACAGCAAGAAGAATGTGACGCTATCCAAATGCTGTTTTTAAAACGTGTGCAAGATTTAGTGGCAAAAAACGAGTGTCAGATATACAGTACAGTACTGTATTTATTTTGTGCAAAGTAAAGAAATAATTTTTAATGATACAATAGCGATGATTATTATTTTAAAAAAATTTTTTGTTAAGCTTAACATCGATGAAAATTCAACGCGAATTAGGTCAGTAGCGATATACAGTACTAATTACATGGGATATGCTAATATACTATACTAATAATGCATTTTTTCATACTTTTCGGTTATCCGACCAACCCCAGTCCCCAGTTGTGTCGGATAATCGATGCTCTACTGTAATTATTTTATGTTAGACTGTACTATAGACTTTCTTTCACTCTGAATGTGTTAGAATATTTTTAATATATTAATTTCTAGCAACGTATTATAAGTTGTGAATATAACTCACCTTCTGTGTGATCTTTACTTGGACAGACCACTTCATAATTAATTTCAAATAACGATATATCTCACTTGAGTTAAATGTTAGCGATTTATCATAAATATCCTATATTATTGAAAGTAATTGAGGAATTCACACCATAATCACTGAGACTTGCCTATACTGATGATGATAAAACTGCAGTTAATGAAAATTGACTTTGACATTAAAAACAATTAATTGAAAAATGTATAGCTTGAAGATTTTTAATTTAATAATTATTATCAGTCAATAATAATTCATTCTATAAATAATTGAATAAGTAAGAAATGCCAGCAGTTTAAAGTAGTATAGTATAAGAGATGGTTGGATAACCAAGGGGCGTGGAATTGGATCCAGAAGGTTGAGAAACGTCTGGAATTTTTTGGAGTGGTTCATCTGGATACGTCTGGCCCCATCCCTCGTCATCCAGTGCCGCATTGTGGGCTCAGTCGAACCCAAAATGGACTTGCTAAGAAAACCCTCTTAGCATAGACAGGGCAGAGAGTTAAAAAAAGAATATTTTTGGCATGTTAATTCTGATATTAGGTAACTGATAAAAGTTTCTGTGACTAAAATATGCAGATTCTACTGTATTAAATTAGGAAATGTTTCTTTTGAAAAAATTACCGGCTAGTACAATTATATAAATGTTGTAGTTAAGTTATAGACTCAATATTTCTTAAACAAAAGAATAAAATACAGCATTTATCTTTAGATTAAGTTGAGTTTTTATTTATTTGTTTCAGGTAATGTTGCAGGAACATCGAAAGACAACGTAAAAGATAATGCCATTAAAAATTCTAAGGGTAATAAAAAGTAGGTTAATGTTTCAAGAGAGTTATTTAATGAAATAATGATAAGTATAGACTAGTGATCTCTCTAACCTGACCAGTTAACTTAGAAGATACAGGGGAACCCCATTTTTTGGGATTCTGTTAATTCGGATTATAAAACATAATCCCCGTTTCAGACGTTTGAAAGGTAGACATACAAAAAACCTATAAATGCAAAAAAATCAAAGAATTTCTAAGTACTTTTTTGCCCCTGCATAATGTTTTAGTTTGCAAGAATAGACTTATTTTTTATGAATCAGCATATCATGATTATTGTTATGCAATTCGTTCAAGTTTACTTAAGCTGTGGTCACACCATGCGATTTCCAGCCACGCGGGCGACTGCAACCTGTTCTCGTTAACTAGGAAACCCCTTCGAAAACCGGTGTGACTGCAACCACAACTAGAAACAAAAAGTTTGTTCTATTCGTGCCGGTTGCAAACGCACATTCATTTAGAAAACGTCTTTGTGCTACATTATATCGTGGCAACATTGAAAATAGTTCATTATTAAACTTTTTCTATTTGTCTGGCAGCCTATTTTCCGACAATACTTGCTAACCTTTTACATTATTCTTTTTGACTATTTTCGGGATGTTTTTATTCTTAAAGGTTTAGCGAGTCCCTAAGTTGTGCTTGTGAGGTCTCCCCTCCCCTTTTCTCGGTGCGGACTTACTTTTTTTTGCTCGGGGTGATTACATGATCATCTAATTTTGCTTTAAATTAACATTCAAACTGTAAATTAACTTATTAGTTAAAGCCCTCTACCCTCGATTTCTTCAAACAGAAAAACCATCCTTCTAAGACAAACAGAGGGCTATTCTCAAGGAATAGCTGCCGAGTAAGTGATAAACGAGTCTTAACTACTCTGTATCCCCGGCTAGCACCTCACAAGTCTATCACTGCACCTGAAGAACCACCAAACAGCCAATTTGTATCACATCTGTGTGGGCTGATTAAAGAATGTTATGGATTTGAAGAATGTGACAACAAAAACATTCAAGACTGACTCGAATGTGATGCCGATGACCGTGTCTATCAGATAATGTCAGACGATAAAATCATTGCCAGTGCCATCGACAACCAAGAACCTAGCGATGACAACCGTCCTGAAAAAGGACCATCCAGTGAGGAAGCTTTTCACGGCCTTGAGACGGCTATGAAGTGGTTAGAACAGCAAGAAGAATGCGACGCTATCCAAATGCTGCTTTTAAAACGTGTGCGAGATTTAGTGGCAAAAAAACAAGTGTCAGCTGTGAAGCAAAAGAAAATTTTGGACTTCTTTTTCTAATCTATAGGCCTACTTTATGTAAAATATGTAACCCGAATACTGTATATATTTTTTTGTTTTATATTTTTTAATATACGGTACAGTACTGTATTTATTTTGTGCAAAGTAAAGAAGTAATTTTTAATGATACAATAGCGACAATTATTACTTTAAAAAAATGTTTTGTTAAGCTTAACATTGATGAAAATTCAACGCGAATTAGGTCAGTAGCGATATACAGTACTAATTACATGGGATATGCTAATATACTATACTAATAAGGCATTTTTTCATACTTTTCAGTTATCCGACCAACCCCAGTCCCCAGTTGAGTCGGATAATCGATGCTCTACTGTAATTATTTTATGTTAGATTGTACTATAGACTTTCTTTCACTCTGAATGTGTTAGAATATTTTTAATATATTAATTTCTATCAACGTATTATGAGTTGTGAATATAACTCACCTTCTGTGTGATCTTTACTCAGACAGACCACTTCGTAATTAATTTCAAATAATGATATTTCTCACTTGAGTTAAACGTTAGCGATCATAAATATCCTACATTAATGAAAGTAATTGAGGAGTTCACACCATAATCACTGAGACTTGCCTATACTGATGATGATAAAACTGCAGTTAATGAAAATTGACTCTGACATTAATTAAAAACAATTAATTAAAAAATGTATAACTTGAAGATTTTTAATTAAATTATTATTATTAGTCAATAATAATTCATTCTATAAATAATTGAAGTAAGAAATGCCAGCAGTTTAAACTAGTATAGTATAAGAGATGGTTGGATAACCAAGGGGCGTGGAATTGGATCCAGAAGGTTGAGAAACATCTGGAATTTTTTGGAGTGGTTCATCTGGATACGTCTGGCCCCATCCCTCGTCATCCAGTGCCGCATTGTGGGCTCAGTCGAACCCAGAATGGACTTGCTAAGAAAACCCTCTTAGCATAGACAGGGCAGAGAGTTAAAAAAAGAATATTTTTGGCATGTTAATTCTGATATTAGGTAACTGATAAAAGTTTCTGTGACTAAAATATGCAGATTCTACTGTATTAAATTAGGAAATGTTTCTTTTGAAAAAATTACCGGCTAGTACAATTATATAAATGTTGTAGTTAAGTTATAGACTCAATATTTCTTAAACAAAAGAATAAAATACAGCATTTATCTTTAGATTAAGTTGAGTTTTTATTTATTTGTTTCAGGTAATGTTGCAGGAACATCGAAAGACAACGTAAAAGATAATGCCATTAAAAATTCTAAGGGTAATAAAAAGTAGGTTAATGTTTCAAGAGAGTTATTTAATGAAATAATGATAAGTATAGACTAGTGATCTCTCTAACCTGACCAGTTAACTTAGAAGATACAGGGGAACCCCATTTTTTGGGATTCTGTTAATTCGGATTATAAAACATAATCCCCGTTTCAGACGTTTGAAAGGTAGACATACAAAAAACCTATAAATGCAAAAAAATCAAAGAATTTCTAAGTACTTTTTTGCCCCTGCATAATGTTTTAGTTTGCAAGAATAGACTTATTTTTTATGAATCAGCATATCATGATTATTGTTATGCAATTCGTTCAAGTTTACTTAAGCTGTGGTCACACCATGCGATTTCCAGCCACGCGGGCGACTGCAACCTGTTCTCGTTAACTAGGAAACCCCTTCGAAAACCGGTGTGACTGCAACCACAACTAGAAACAAAAAGTTTGTTCTATTCGTGCCGGTTGCAAACGCACATTCGTTTAGAAAACGTCTTTGTGCTACATTATATCGTGGCAACATTGAAAATAGTTCATCATCGTGGCGGAAAACAAGACGATGGATACGTTCACAGAATCCAGATTAATCGAGCTAATTCAGTCTCGTGAATGCCTGTGGGACTTTAATTCTTCGTTTTATCGAAGAAAAGACAAAAGAGTGCGGGCATGGCGTGAGATAAGTGAAAGTCTCGGCATTGATTGTAAGTATCATTTTTATATTTCTGGATATAAAATGTTGATTGTTTTTAGTTTGGTAATGACAGTGTTGTTTTAAATATAGCTAAAGAACTAAGTAAAAAGTTCCATTATCCGAGAACGATGTTTCTTCGAATAAAAAAAAAAAAGTAGATGACAGCAAAGTGGATGCGGTGAGAATGAAATATATAAACCAACGTGGGAACATTGGCATCCCTCAGTTTTCTTTTAAATTCTTTTAAGAAAACAATGTCACCATGAATTCTGGAATGTCTGGCCAATTATTGATGCTTTTGACAAAGTTTTGTTAGAGAATTCTCCTTTAGAAAGGAAGGTGTGTGTCAAACAGATAATTTTTTTAAAGGACAGGTGCAAGGAAAATAATACCTTAAAAGAAAACCCAATCCTTAGGGAATTAAAAGATTTTTCCTCTGGGAAATGTCTTACAGCTTCATTTTATAGTAAAGAAAATCAACAAACCTTCCTGATAAATATTTCTTGTATAGGACAGTCTGGGGCTGTCACAATAAACTTGGTTGAAAATTGCTTGGAACCTTGTTTTGATTATAGGTTATTCTGTGATAAATATTTCACCTTGCCCTGATTAGTGGACCATCTGTTGTATCGTGGAGTTTATTATACAGGAACAGTCAGACAGAGTTGATAAGTTACTTCTATCTCCCAACAGTTTGTTTCTAAAAATACTAAGAGATACAATGGATAGTTGCTCAACAAGAAACAGAAGAACGTGCCTAGTCAGATGACATGACAGCTCAATGGTTACTATGTTTTAGTTGGCTTATGATTGGAAAGTACCTCCTGGAAAAGTGGTTTTTCAGGTCAAAAGCTAAAATTGAATGTCCTTTTACCCATTATACATTACAATAAAAGTATGGGTGGAGTAGGTAAGCTTGACTTATTGATATTATTACTTAGAATTTGTCTCAAATAAAAAAAAAATATGGACATTATGAGACATTTTTACTTCGTTGATTTAGCTGTCGTGACATCTTGACTTCAGTTATAAAAGAGATTGTTTCCTATGGCATTCTATTGAAAGAGCAAATGACTTTGTTAAATTTCAGACTAGAACTTAATGCATAATTAAATCTGGATATCCACTTGTGATGCCTTACCAAAAACTGTTTCTCAGCAAAGTTTGCCAAATGATGATTGCTTTGATGGTTCGGGTCCCTTTCCTATATGAAGAAAATGGCTTTGATACAGTAATATAAACTCTTGCCTTTTGTTTGAACACAACACATCATATGTCTTGAAGGTTTCCTGAAATACTTACTGATCATATAGGATGTTTTTTAAAAAATATATAAAGTGTAATATTACGAAATTACACCTCAATGCAAAATTTCCAGCAAAGAAATTCAATATTCTAACGTTTTCGGCCACTATTTCATCAGCCCTTGATAATATATTGAATAAAAGTGCCATTCTTCTCACGACAGTCAATGTGTTAATTAGTTTATCGTTTGTAACCTCGCAAGTTATTTGCTCGACACTCACGGTCGCCATCCTTTTGCCACGTTTCAGTCACCTTTAATCTTTTGTGAAGTAAACACCTTGCAAATTACATCTAAAAGAAAGTGGTTGTCATCGCGGAGAAGAAATTAGAAGCACTCGGTAGAATCGATAAAGGCAAATTTGCGAAGACCATTGCCACAGATTTTGGAGTAGAACTTGTACGATGTCAGATTGGATGGAAAATCGTAAAGAAATTGAAGACTTTTGTTACAAAAGGATTTCAAAAAACAGTCTGAAAACTCAAAAGAACGATGAAGAAGGCAAAATATAAATCGCTCGATGCATTATTCTTGTGGTTCGTTGATCGGTAGGACCATGGTGTTTCAATATCAGGTCTACTTTTAAAATAGCAAGCTATCCAATGGGGATTCCTTGTTCACTGCTAGCCTAGGTTGGTTAAACAGGTAAAAAAACTAGTCGTGGTGTACATCAACTTGCAGTGTCTGGTGAGAGCCTTTCTGGTGTTAATACAGTATCACTGGAACATTTTAAAATGATTAAAGTAATAAATTGTATCAAATAAGATAGAAACATGGAATTGTTTATGAATAAAAGTAATACGTTGGAATAAATTTGCAATAAAAGCTTCAAAACTTTTTTGTGGAACACTTGAGGTTTGCTTGTAGAATAGCAGTTGAGAATCCATAATAGATCCTCCATATTACATGTTACATTCCCGACGACATTCCTTCTACAGGGATGCCATCTCTGTCCATCCTGTCAAGGAATATTTTTACTTAATCTTAACTAGTTTTAAAGTTTGTAAAGAACATTATATTACTGATTATTTATTTATACTTTTTTTTAATAGTAAGATATCAAAAAAACTCAAAAAATCGCCCGTTTATTTTTGGGTTTACTGTACTGTACATTTACATACAGTATTCTGGGATGGCAGTCATTTCCTTTCTAGGCTTTGCCAAATTGTCCAAATTAAATCAATTCTTATGGCTTAATCAATTATTAAATTACTGTTATTGTTTATTACCAAATTTTAAAATATTCATTACAGATTAAAGTGCGAGGAATCTAGTAATTTGAATGCGAAAGAAGAGGGAACTTCGAAGGTTGGTAAATTCGAGAATGTAACGATTCCCGTGGACGAAGAATGCTCGCTGGAAAATGTGCACGTTTATTGTGAAGATGGCGAAGTCTTCAATGCCATGTTGAATCAGACCAACGTGCAGAATAACAACAACAAGTACTATTTGCTTCAGTTACTCAAACACAATTCGAACGAAGAGTATTTTGCGTGGTTTCGCTGGGGAAGAGTCGGCAAAAAGGGGCAGTCGTCCCTTCAGTCTTTTAAGTCGGATCTAGACGGAGCTAAAGCGTGTTTCGAAGAAAAGTAAGTTGTTATATTGTATTTTACGGTAGATATTCCCATTAACTGGTGAAGCGATGGGGAGGAATGTGCTCAGATAATCATAAGCATAGATAATAGAATTTACACTTACAATACTGTTTATTAATTTATTTGATACCGTGACTAAAATTTACTGTAAAATTTTCATTAATAGATGATTTTGCTTGCATCTTAAATTTATCTTTGATATCAATCAAGCGTTATTAAAATGAATGATGTTTGATATTTAAAAAGTAAAAATATTAAACTTGTATTTTGGAAATTGGTTAATGATTATTGGCACACGTCTTCGAGGATTCTTCATCTTCAGGCTGTATTTCTCGAAGCAACAACCTGAAGATGAAGATCAGAATCCTTGAGGATAATTATTGATTGATTCTGTATGGATGATGGTAACTTGTAATGTCCTTATACAAATTTGCAAGGAATACAATGGCACTGTTTCCCATTTTCCGCCAATCACAAAGATCCGAAAGGTATTTTGAAACACTATTTTATCCGTTATTCACATTACATTTGGTCCTCTTCAGATGTACTTTCTGTAAAATCTTATATTAAATGTAAATTTTAGAATTAACAGGGAAATAAGGAACGTGACTAGTACATGGTGTATTGCCAAATGTACTGTACTTCTTGCAAGTAAATCACCATCGTCCTATATAAATATACTATTCGGAAAAATAGATTGTTTTTCGTTTCAGATGAAAAATACATTTAAATTGGTATTTACAAACTTTATTTTATAGATTTCGTTCAAAGACAAAGAATGAATGGGAGAATCGGAATGATTTTGTCAAATATTCTGGAAAATACGACTTGCTTCAAATGGATTATAACAAAACGGTAACTGATTTGAATTTTAATATTTCCGATTTATACACAAGATATTTATCAGAAAACTTTTTTATTTTAAAATTATATAACGATTTGTAATCTCTGTCGATAACCGAAAGTTAAACTTACGAAATTAAGTCGCATTTGTTTTGTTGGAATGACATATGTGCATTATGCTAATTTTGTGTGGCATTGCCAGGAAAATATTTGATATTGTATTCTGGGTGCAATAAAATATAGCTAGATGTTTTTCAAAGAAAAATTGTTACTGACTTCCACCTGCGTGAGGGGATAATTCGAGACATCCATATTTTTTCTAATGTTAACTCAAAATGCCCCATTCATAGTCAAATCTAAAAACATGTTTTGCACTTGTTCATAACTTTTTATCAAGCAGTTTTTCTGTTTGAATGCCATCATTCCTGTATAGCGGGATGATGGCATTCTAATAGGTCTATTGGGCCCCCTTTCTAAGAAATCTGACTGATGCACTGATCGGATAGAAAGGGGGTCTATTGCGTGTGGCAAGTCTAAAACTCAAACAAATGTAGTTATTGATCTCCTCCTGGACGATGGTCCCAAAAAGTTTCATTTTATTTTCTCAAACCTTATTGAAATGTATAAAGAACAAACAAAATATTTATCGTGTATATCATTAATAAATTCTATAATTTACTTTATTAATTTAATAACTTTCTGTAGAATTCAGATTCAAAATCCGAAGTATCGAAGGAGAGTAAGAAGATCAACGACGTATCCGAATCGGAATTAAAGAAAGAGTTGCAGGTATTTAAACAAATTATGTATTAATATAGTTTCTATTTATCTTAAAACGTTTTGTAGCATTTCTTAAAATGGAAATTATTTTACACAAATAGATAGTAAAATGCATGTGACGTTTCGATGGCTAAAGCCCCACGACACACTGAACGATTTCTTGCCCGGGCAACATCTCTGTGCAACAAAAACCTGTTGACATTCAGTGATGTTTGAGCACACAAGGAGACAAGTTACCCGATTTGTAGAGAACAAACATAGATGATGCTAGCAATGCACTTATAATTGGATGCGGAACAGTTTTACGTACTTTGTTAAAAAGAAGGCATGACAAAAAATGGATCGTTATGGACGTGAGATTGGATTTGGAATCAGTATTCTCACAGATGCTATAATCCTTTATGGGTGTTAAGTGCCACTAATTTTTGTTAATAGCGCAAAAGCGTGTTTCTTTGAGCAACCTGCGATGTTTTTTAATAGTGTGGTTATAAATTGTTTTGTTCAATCGAATTAACAAAATCAAATGTGTGTCCTATCAACTGTCCATGAGCAACTTTCTTTAATTTTTGTAAACAAGAACATGAATCAGATGTGCCAACTTTCATGGATCGATTCCGTAACCCCAAATGTCTGTAGTAATTCTGAATGTTGCGTTTAAAAGATAAATGTTTTCTTGGGTATTGTGCAAAATTTCGGAGTTTTCTATGAAAGGGTTGCCAAAATGTAAACAATTAAAAAGTGCAAAAATTGTTAAAATAACTGTATTTTCTCCTCCTTTTTTTCTGCATTGGGCACTGTAGATGCTCCTAGAGAAAAAACTACTGAGTCTAGAATGCTTAAATTTTAAACTTAAATATCTCTCATTATCGGTGAGTGCTGGCAAAATTTCCAGGACAATAGGTCAAAGTTTATGGGACTCTTCATAGAGCTCTTTTCCTTTTATTGTTTGATTTTACGTTCGTCAAATATCAAGGTTCATTGAAACGAATGTTTTGTATGTAAAATTTTATTCAGAATAGCAAAAGCTCAAATTTATGTGAATTAAAACTTTTTATAATGATTTTACTAAACTGTATATTGAAAGCATTTGGTTGGAAGCCATTCAAGCATCAACCAAACCATACATCATCGTCTAGGTCTTCATGACAAGGCCGACAAGAGGGTGGACGAGTTAAAATTTTTCGAGCTTGGAAAGTTTATTTACAATAGATATGCTCATGATTGAAAAACAGTTGACGTCACATCAGATACCGATTTTGAAGTGATTATCTTTGAAGAGGGTCATGAAAGGAACAATTTCGCATTCAGAACATGAAATTATATCAAATTGTCTTCTGTTACAGATGCAAAACAGTCCTTAGTCACAATTAATTATGACTTTTGTCATATTTAGTCGGCATTCACTAAGCCTGTTTAGAATGAATATTTGACCGTGGGTGCTCTGAACTTGGAAACTCAAGCTTTTGGTACCTAGAACATACCCTATACACCTGCCCTACAAATAACCCTATGGATCTATCTACGGTAAAGTGACTCTATCAAGTCAAAGTAAAGTCTCTTTACGACATTCCAAGTTACGTTTTCTCCTACTTTCTCTAATAGAAACTTTGAACTTCTTGAAAGATATTCCAAAATTAAACTTCCTCTATGAATCCAAATTTCAAAATCTTTCATTGCTTGCTTTCGTGTCTGCTTTGTTTTAAAAAAAAATGTTTGATTCTTTTAGTATTAATTGCTTATAATCTAGACACTTTGATGCTGGGAAAAAACATATTAGTTATTAATCTTTTGTATTTTGTTCACTGTAATCACTACATTTTGCACTTTTTCATCTAGCAACGAAAATAAATTATTAGGATGAGAATGATTAAACATTATGCAATATAATATAAAGTTTCAAACTTTCAATAACAGTAATAGCAATAATGGTATTACTTTCTTTTTAGGATTTAATGAAGCTGATTTTTGATCTGAAAGCAATGGAAGAAGTTGTTAAGAAGATGAACTACGATGCTAAGAAGAATCCTCTTGGTAAAGTATTGTTTAAAAATATATTTTTAAATGTCTTAATGACAGAAAATAATATAGAATATCAAAACACAACAGTCCAATAATGCCAATTGTCTATTATGTTGAAAGATTTTGTAGTCAGTTAGATAATAAACTTTTATCGTGAGATATGATAAGAGATAGAGAGCTCGTGTTGCGATTAATACAAAGGAAATAAACATCGCACTGCTTAGCAGATATTCCATGATCTGATATTTTCAAATACAGTACTTCCATTTGAAAATAAACAAATTAAGCCCATTGTTTCTTAAACTTGTTACATCGAGGTCTGTAAAATCCAAGGTATAACAGCGTAGCTATGATTTTACCATATAAATAAGTGGTATACAGTATTCTTTCGTATCGAATTTATATTATAAAGTTATTTTTTACATTATCTTGCTTTCCAAACACAATTTCTCTTAAAGAATTAGAAAATAAAATAATTGGTATTCTTAAATTGAAAACAAACTACAGTCATTCCTCTGTTAACAAATCCTGTAGAAATGAAGCTCTTTGTAACAAAATCATAACTGTGGAGGACATCAAATTGAATGTGGCAGCCAAATTCCCAAATATTCTGAAGAAAGCCTTCCAGCAATGGTGGGATTGGTGGGGCAACTGTGCGTGCATGTGCTGAAGGTCCTACTTGAAGGTGATTAGGTAAGTGTTTCCGTGTGGCTTACCATTACACTGCTGCACCGCAGTTCCAGGAATGTTCTGGCTGCCTGTTTATTTAACTTAAAATTGCAAAAAATGTACAACTGAGAAACATATAAACAGGGTTATATATTTTGAGAAATGTTTCTCTCTAAGCAGAGGAACATATCTACGTAATTTCAATGGTATTCCTAATTCCAGTAAGGTATTTTATAATGCAGCTCCCTCATTAACCGAGGTATTATCATATTCGTAATCGTAGCTTTAAAATTATTTCACGTGTGTAAAATATTTAAAATTTCTTTGATCTTATAATTCGTTTCTAACTATATAGAAGATGAATTGTCTCGAACCAACACCTTGTGCCTGTATTAAATAATTAAGTCTATTCATATTCTCGTAAACAGATTTATATTGCTAAATATTCCAATATGCTTTGTTAATCTGATTAATTAAACAATTAGTTGACTGCATAATTGACAGTTTAGCTTATTAAGATATCAACTAATTAACACTAATTCAAGAATGCTGTACTTATTACAGGAAAATTAACAAAAGAACAAATAAGTTCCGGTTTTCTTGCACTGAAAAGGATCGAAAGCTGCATTAACAACAACATCGTTGACGGTTCTGAACTCGTCGAAGCCTGTAATGACTTTTATACAAAAATACCTCACGACTTTGGGTAAATTAGTTTTAATTATTCGTTCTTCTTTCATAATCTATTATATATTCTTACAAAAGACATTTTAAATTTATTTTAATATACAGTATGAAGAGACCACCTCTCATTAAAACAATTATTCAATTAAAAGAGGAATTAGAACTTATAGAAGTAAGTAATTAAAATTATTATGATGTAACATTTAATAACACAAATAGCATCATCGGTTAGATTGTCAGAGAGAGAGGATGAAACCACTGGTAGTCAGTCGTGGGTTCGCACCAAACCGACAGGCCGGCCTCTCAGAGTTTTCCAGGTTTCCTTCGTGTCTAACATATAAGTAGCAGTTGGTTTTCCATTGAAAATTTTTGGAAGACACCTTTCCTTGGCGTGTTGTTTTGCTTTAATTCTTTAAGCTCTGAAAATTTCTTTCTTCGCGTATGAAGACCAAATTGTTTTTATCCATCGGGCTATGAGAGGAATTTGTACGACAAAGTCGGTCTAACAACTTTTCCTTCAGTCAATTTCGTACGTAACAAATTAAGGTGATTTTGACCAAACTTGCATTTAGAAAGTTAATTTGTCATTTCAGTCCATTATTTTACTAAGAATATATAAATTCAAGAGTAATGATGCTAGTTTAGGTTATTTACTTTCCTTTCTTTTACCGATAAATATATTCCTTAATAATTTTCTGATACAAATAAAATTATTTAAACTGAATTATTGTTTCGTTTAAATAATAATTTTTGGTGGATGCTCAATTTCTTATCTAAAAAATCTAGAACCAGGCTCATTTCGGAGTGGCAAAATATTACACAGATTCTGCACTATTGATAATGATAGACATTTTTTCTGTGTCTTGCAGTCTTTTCAGTCCTCAAAGCAATGAAATCAGAAAATAAAAAAGTATTGGCAATAAGCACACACATGTCTCACTGGTAGGGCTCCAAACACGACCAATGAAATGCACTTGTGAAGTGTGTCGGGACACATTTGATAAAAACAGAATATTTACTTTTTTTTTAAATCGTTATTATACTCTGACATTTCTTTTACTGAATGCCAGTGAAAAAAATTGGCTTGTAAGCTTAAAGCAGATAAAGGACTATTTTCTTTTCCTTCCTACCTTAAATTCAGCAGTGTTTCCTTGCATCCCGCTCCGTCACTTCCTTAAGCATATCGTCATACATTTTTTTGTTTTCTGAAATATCTGATTATTCTATTGCATTTCCCCCCCCCATAATCATTGTCTCGATTTCCATTTTTATTGTGGAAATTGTCTATAAGTAAAAAATCTTCGTAATTTGGCATGTTCATTTTTCTGTGTAGATCTTACCTGGGATTTCCACATTTAGTAAAACAACTTGGAATCATTTTTTGTCGCTTACTTCTCACCAACCGTCGGCAATTAATTATATCACTGGAAATGTCGAAATCCTTGCACTAACTTCAGTTGCTTTAGAGGACAATGTCAGAAGATTTCTCTCGATAGCTTCGAGTTTACCTTTAACCAACTTCTGTATAACCTGTCTTGAATGTTTTGACAATTCCAGCATCCATAAGCTGTATTGAAAACATGGCTTGTGTGGGTAAAAATTCAGTTTGATACTTTTTAAATTGTATAAATTAGAACATGCCGCATGGTCGTCCAAATTAGCAGAATTTTTCTGTATTTTTGTCAGATTTCCACATCTTGGCATTTCAGTTACTTTGTGCAATAAAATACAGTTAATTGCCGATAGCTGGAGATGTACTTTAGTTTTGAAAGAATTATTGAAACTAATATAAGATTTTTATGTAAGTATTGTATTTCAATATTTTTTAACCTATTTCTTTTATATTTAGACATTAGAAGGAATTGAAATTGCACTTAATATGATGAATGAGGAAGTAATTAAATTAAATCCGATTGATTATCATTACAAAATGCTAAACTGTGGATTAGAACCGTTGGAACACTCCGATAAAGAATTTGAGGTAAGTGTTTAAAAGTAATTGTTAAAAATTACAGTAAAATTGTAAATGTTTTGTGTTATAAACCAGCTTGATTAACAAATTATCTCAGTATTTATAACAGTGATTTGTAATATGCCAAACTTGTTTTTTTCTTAAAAATGTTAATGGCTCATCGGTGGTCAAGTGGCTAAAACTGTTGAATGTTGATGGTTGGCTGTTAGTTCCTATTGGTTCCAGGGGACTTTTTATGAAAAAAAAATCTCTTTTACAAAAAAATGGATCTCCTTTCTGTGAAAAATAATCTCCCCTAGCAGGTCATTCACGTATTGCATTGATGTATTCCAATAAACTGAACCAAACCTTGAAATTGTTAGCTTATTAACACGATAATTAATTACCTAAACTCTAATTATATTTAAAAATGAATATAAAAAATATTTTAATTTATATGAAAATACAAATTTATACCACTATCTTTGTTTTCAGATGGTAGAGCTGTATGTTCAAAATACACACGGCGAAACACACAGGAGCTATTCTCTGTCGGTGACGGATGTCTTTAAATGCAGTAAAAGTGGAGAAGATAAAAATTTTCGTGATTACGGGAATAAGATGCTCCTGTGGCACGGTTCCAGACTTTCCAATTGGCCGGGCATACTAAAACAGGGTTTGAGAATCGCTCCTCCGGAAGCTCCGGTGACCGGTTACATGTTTGGCAAGGGTGTTTATTTTGCAGACATGTGTAGCAAGAGTGCAAATTACTGCCATGCCAGAGACGAAGGTCTGCTGCTGTTGTGTGAAGTAAGTAAAAATTAATTTGTATGTAATTAATTTGATGGCTTGATACCATTTGAACAAATACATCAATTTCTAAAGCCACACCAGTAACCATATAAGGGCTATTTTTTGGTGATTATAATTTTAATTACTAATTAATTTGATGTAGAGGGAGGAATTAGGCACCATCTTGTATTAAATTTAATAAGTATAATTTAATTAAATAATTTTAGAAAATTCTGGAAGAAAAGAATCGGTCCAGAGAGGAACTCGAACCCGCAACTCCTGCTTGCTGTGCGGAAGTGTTTTATTATATAATTTATCTTAGTTACAACTGTGTTACAGTTAAAACTTCTAATGCCTTTTTGAGTACCATGTGTTTGTCTGTCCAAGAAACAAACTGTTTTCATTCTCCCATCTTTGTTTATGGAGTGCTTGGAGCACAGTTCACACCAGATACATGTTAACTTGGTTAATTGGGATTCTCGGTAATTGCCGAAATAGCAACAAAGACAAGAGATATTTTATATTAATACCTCATAATATAATCTTATTTTATTTACTTGCTAATAGTTTATAGAAACTTGAAAGCAGTTAGAAGTAATGTTTTTGGGAAGGTGACCCAAATGGCAAGTATGTATTGTGAATAAGTGCCTTTGGTTTACATTCCATACACTAACTCTTCTCTTATTGTTTCGGAAATGATGCCACGCCTGCATAATGTCGGAGAATGGCAATCAAAGTACTTAGTTGGAAAATTCTGCATCACTCAGCCTACAGTCTGGGTTCCATCACTCTTCAATTACTACCCATTAGGCTTTTTGAAGGCCAGAGATTTACCCGGAATGCCAGAGCAAGAGGTTCCGACATCAACCAAAAGACTTCTATTCTGCAGACAGAATATTGTTTCTGAAACAAGGGGAGAAGTGTCATCGTGTGGAGGAGGTATCTAGAGAAAGAAACAAATTTGCACTATAAAATGCATATAGTTTCGTTGTCATTGCCAAAATTACAAACCACCCTTGTGTATCTTTCATATCAAGATGGTCAATTTATCCTTGATAGGATGTAACATTTTTGCACTCTTGGGTGTTCCTTGTTATTAATAGAATCTGTTAATTTTGTCACCATTTCTTAGCCGAAGTCTTTCCAGGAACTTCACTCTCTGAGTACTGGACAAAAATGTGTGACAATAAAACTTGCTTCTCTTGTGAGTATACTATTTTCTTCCTTGAATGACACTGAAAATGCCAGTTTATTGTAACAGCTACTGTTGAAGAGTCTGTTGATGTTTGTTAGTAATTCAAATTTTCCGGAACTTTAATAAACGGGTTTGCGTTTTATATGGGATGGCCCATAATTATTTAGTCACATGATAAGATCATCTGTAACTCTTAAGGTTTATTATTTTCTAGTTTTCAGAGTTAGGATACAATAGATATTAATAGGGACAGCTATTGATAAAAAATACTTGAAGAATTTGACAGTTGATGTATCAAGTGAACATTCGACAAATTTGAAGTAACATGCAGAATGGCCTACAGTACAGTAAGACTCCACTTAATGCTGATTCGATATAATGCGGTCTGCTCGAAGCCTTAAAAAACGCTCAAAATTTACCCTGATTTAAATCATGGCATATCATTGATTCGTACATAATACGATTATTTACAAACATGAACCAATCAGAAAAACGTGGCAAAAAGGTGTACTTTTTTTAAAATCTATGTTTGTTTGGTGCAGTTTTGGAAAAAATATAACATCATGGATGCCATAGGCAGTATCGGCTTGGCTTGGCAAGAATTAGCTGATAAGTGCGGAAGAAGTTATGGCTGAAGGTATCCGAGAATTCTCAACAAGATGAGCCTATTGCTCATCTTATTGAGCAATAGGCTCATCTTGTTATCGTTAGGTTGACCAAACTCAACTTAATCGATACAGCAGAATTAGATGTAGACGAGCAGGACATTGAGGAGTTACAGCAGGTTTCTGGTGAGAGTCTTATCAACGATGACCTTCGAGAACTGGCAGAACAAGGAATTCATGTAGAACTAGAAAACAGTTACTGAAAACAAAGAACTCAAAGAACTTGTTACAGATTTCCTTAGTAAAAGTTTGGTAACAATAACTGAAATCATTGATCAAATTGTAGCAAATGATCCAGATTTTGAAAGGAATGCAAAAGCAAAACTAGGTGTTTTGGATGCAATCTTCAGTTACTGACATTTGCTTAAGGAAAGAAACAAGCGACAAATGAAACTATAAGACTTTATCACAAAAATCAAGAATTTTACAAAAGTCAGGACCTTCCTCAAACTTTGTATTTTTTGTGTGCCTATGTTTATGTGTTATTTAACATATATTATTATACAAATTAATATAAAAATAACTTAAAATTAAAGTAAAATTTGTTTATTTTCGGTCACATGTTCCTCTATCCCTATTTACTCTATATTAAAATGACCTCTTTTAACGCTGTTTCGTTTAGCACTTTGTCGTCTAGGAACGCATCCCCCGCGTTAAGCGGGGTTTTACTGTATTTCATATATTATATTATTGTAATTGTACTTTACTTAGTTGTTATGGTGGGATATATTTTTTAATCAATAAAAACTTCCACGCTTTCAACAAAGTTTTAGTTTCTACAGTTGATGCACAACATATAGCCCAGTGCAGCATTTGTCTGCTGTGCATTCCAAATTCTATTCCTACAAGTACAAGTACCTGTATTTCATTTATTTACTTGTTTAATTTAAAATAGACTCAATGGAATTTTTTATTTTAATGGCAGGCAAATCAAATTGTGTACAGATAGCCCTCGGTTTACGCTGCAGTTCCGTTCTTACAAAAGCCGGTGCAAATTGAATCGGCGTAAAACGAACCCGTATTTACAGTGAGGTATAGGGTTAGGTTCTACATAAGTGAAAAAAAAGCTAATAATTTTGTTTATTAAGACAATATAATACAAAATACATATAAATTTTTAATTTTTAAAATGTATTTTATCATAAAATAAAGTAAAATGTTTTTATTTTAAAATTTTAGTTTCGAATTTCTTACATTTTTCGAAAAAAGTATCCATCTTTAATTGTTTACATTTTTGATTTTTTTCATTAAAAATTTCAGAATATGGTCGAATATAATGCACTTCGCTCCCAACATTGTCTAACTCACAAACTTCATTCGTCAAATTTTCCTTAGTTGAAAGGATACGTTAACCCGACGTAGAGCTACAGACAAGCGAAGACACTGATTGGTCGACCATTGGTCGCTGTAGTGCATATATAAGTTTGAGCGGGAAAATTCAAGGTGGCTAAGGAGAGATAAATATCGTCTGGCCAACGAGAAGTAGATTTGTCTCACTAACGATAATTTGTGATCGCCGGAAGTGCTATTGCGTTGTAAGGTGTTTTCCTGAATGAACTGATATGGGATACATTCATTGGCACTATGGATTCGAACGCCATTTATTGGACTATTAAGTTTAATATCTTGACTCGTGGGTACCTAAACATTTAGTATTTTAATATTAATTTAATGCAAATGTATACATACCAATAATATTAAACAGAAAAAATAAATATATTTAATAAAAATCTTTGTTTTAACGAATGTACAATGTTGCGGCTCAGTAAATACGTCAACACTGAAATGAAAATCAGTCTAGCATAGGGAAAATCGCGGAATTACACCTCAAAACGGCAAATTGTGCAGTGGCGTTATTGTGAACCAGCGTAAACCAAGGGCTACCTGTACTCGATTCTTTGTATTCCATTACTAAAATATTTGTTCCCGTCGGAGAAACTGTTTCCTGAGGTAGAAATATTTGAACACTTAAGCATTTTGTTTAGAGGTGCATTCTTTTTATCCTGTGAGTCAATTTTGTCAGCAGATGCAGCAAGAGCTCTTCTAGAAAAATAATCCTTTGCATCAAATGGTTTCTGCAGTTAAAATAAGTTTGGAACCTCTGTGCTAATTACATCATTTACTTTTGTTAAAACTGTTTGTTAAGACATTTACAAAATGCAAAGGATAAACTTCATTCTACTAACTTTTTTTTAATATTAGGTCTCCCTCGGAGAGCAGAATAAGTTAAAGAACTCAGACTACAATGCAAATAAATTGCCAAAGGGTAAACATAGTGTTATGGGACTGGGACGTACCATGCCTAATCCAGAAGAGGATATTATGCTGTAAGAATTAAGTTATTTTGAATGCAATTTTTATGAAATAATATAATTTAATTTTGAAATATATTTTTTTAGACCTGGCGACGTAAAGGTGACGTTAGGAAAACCTGTCCAAGCGAAAGACAGATCGTATTCTCTCTTGTACAACGAATACATCGTGTACGACGTCCATCAGATTAAGATGCGGTATCTAGTTCGGGCAAAGTTTAATTACGGAAAATGACAGGTATCCTACGTTTATAGAGAAAAATTACAAATTTGTTTTTTTATAATGTAAAAATTTAATGTAAATGACAAGCATAATGAGCTGTATATTATATAGTATACAACTTCAGAAAATAAATTGTTATACCTCATTTTGAAATATGGGGCAATGGTATTTACCCCATCAAAACTTGATAGCTTTGACCATATATAGAGAGGAGACATTCCATTATAAAAATGCATACCACGTTACTGTCTCATCCACGGTACATTGGAATAACGTGGTGGCGAGATTGCCGGGATGACAGGAGGATCGACCCATTGCTCCGGGAACCTGAATTTGCCTCGGGATTAAGAATCTCTGGAATTTTACCTAGACTGTCTGTCCAGGATACATCGGACCAATAACCAGTTTTCGATAAGATGTATTATGGGTGCAACTATGAATTATTTTATTTGTTTATGTAAAAATGAAATTTTAAATGTTTCCCCGACGGCCAGATAGTCACTGTATGGATGGACAGAATTGCATTGGCATGCACCCACTTGGATGGTAGCGACAGATTGAGTGGACGGGCAAGGTGTCTTGGTATAGATAATGCCTAAAACACCTTGTACCAAGCTGACTATATAATTTATGGCATCGTTGTCTATAATTCTTTGTAGTTTTGCATTGGAAATATTAAAATATTCTGACAGAAGTTTGAATTTGGACAAATAATTGTACCCCCTTAATAGAAATTTTTTTTTTCTTTCTTTCTTTTTGTACAGGAATGGTGTTCCAGGGTTTCAACATTCGGGCATCCAGGTTAACAACCCTGTTGGTATGGGTTGTTAACCCTGATTTTAGTCGTACAGGTAGAAATGTTGCCTCCTCGAGTATGCAAGGAGGATTTTTTTCATCTGCTCTAGGCTCACCTTAACCAGCAATAAATGTACATCATATTATAAATTTTACTGTTTTTAAATATGATCTAACAACAAATTTATATATAAATAACTCAGAAATTCTCTTCGCTTTTATGTCAAATTTAGTTTAAATGTTTTTAAAATACTCACCATTAGCACAAATACACAAGCAACATCTCACCAACTGATCTGCAAAATTTTTCATATTTTCCGTCATACTATTGTTTGTATTTCCTCCAATTTTTCATATTTTCCGTCATACTGTTGTTTGTATTTCCTCCAATGTTTGTAATTACAAATATGATTTTTCAAATATCCCCCACAAAAAATGAATATTTTTCAAGGTTACCAGATCTCAAGATATTCCAACATAGATTTATGATGTGGGTTGCACTGTCTCTGGACAATGTTGTAAAGCATGTTGTAAAGCACTATTTTATTTTTCCGACTTTCCAATGATTATCTACACGACTGTGTGCTGGAAATAGCCGTTACCTAACGGGTACTTTACACGGATTCGTGTTAATGTGCCAGGCCTGGACTTTTAGCGTGCACCAAAATTAAATAATGACAAAGTTTGTCAATAACAAAGCAAATATTTAATTAATTTCTAGTAATAAAGTATATACAAAATTTAGTAAAAATTAACAACAATTTATTCAATGAAAATCAATAAGAATCAACCTGACAAAACTCAAATCAATCTAGTTTCTAACTTAAATCTATTCCCCTTTGGAATTCGACAAAATTCAAAGACTTAACTTATATACAATAATTCTTATGAATTAAAGATCCTAATCGTCACCTCAATATACTAGGAACCTATTTCCTCAACTCTCAAGACTTTCTCTATTCGTCGATCCACAAATCGAATAACTTCAAAATTGCCTTGGAACTATTTGATCCTATCGGACACCTCTCTCGTTCACTGCTACGAAGCTCACCAAGCTCGTTGCTAACTGGAGTTCACCTCGTCCGTCTTCACTTGACGTTCGGTTTTTATACTGTGAGGTGAAATCACAATTCTGAATGCAATCACTCCCCTCATTTACATACTTATTTGCTAACAATAAACTTTTTCTATTTGTCTGGCAGCTTATTTTCCAACAATACTCGCTAACCTTTTACATTATTATTTTTGACAATTTTCGGAATGTTTTATTCTTTTAAGGTTTAGCGAATTTAAGTTGTGATTGTGGGGTTTTCTCCCCCCNCTAATTTATGTTAAAATATTAAGAAAGGCCAACGTTTTTACCCGTTTAATTCAAATATTAAGCTTCTTGCATTCGATTACACTCAGAGCATTAGGAGCAGTGTTTGTTATTGAATAAAATAAGAGTTAAATTTTCTAGAAATATTTATTTTTCTACAATTATTTCTAGAAATGTTGCCGTATAACTTTAGTATACCTTAACATAAATCGACGGTATTGATTTGCTGATTATTTTTAGTTACTTTGCGTGATTTGCTTAAAGTAACGCCTTACATTCCTACATTTCCTCATAAAATGTCATAAAATTTAAAAATAAAGTAACTTAATGACCAATATTTAAGGAATTGAGGTTATTTTATGTGTAGATCTTATTCAATTTCGGTTTGTTTTTCTACGGATTCGTAAGATGGAGTGTAACGGTGCTTTTTTGGTTCCGTCTTACGCCACGCAAAGCAAACAATAAAATGCGAATAAAATAGAATGACCAAGTACGGTCAACTGTTTGAATAGTAATATTCGGTAGCATAAGCTGGGAGGAACCTGGATCACTCCTTCCTTTTATAAATAAATTAAGGAAAAAGACCTGAATGTGATAAATACGCCTTGCACGTACGTGCACATGTGCACACACGTTCTAGACGTCAAAGAGACATCTGACAATACACGGTGGCCCTCGTTTTAAAACTTATCGAGTTTTAAAATTACCAAAAAAGATTTTCTATTTGCTCGAGGATGTCTTAAAAGACGATGGCCGAGCTTAAATTGGGCTTTGTTAAAAAAAAAAAACCTGCTTTATAAATATCGGCTGTCCTCCAGGCTTGGTATCTGGACATCTATTCTGGAATGTTATTATAAATGACTTACTGATTAAATTATCTGACCGTTTCTGTTTGATGGTTATAAAATCAGCTATATTGTTAAAAATAATTAATTATTGAAGACTTGCTATATTTTTTTAAAACCCAGATATTTTTTGTCTTTGCCCCATCGCGCGGATAATTGATGCAAAAGCTGGATGGGTGGCAACACTTGGAACGGACTGAGCGTCTTATTGGTTGAGATAGCTAAGTTGGATCGTGGTAGGGGTATAAATATGTGATGGTCGTATCTGCAGTTTGTTTTATCGTGAGAAGGTTGTAACCGGGAGTATACCTGTATATATGTTCAATATCTAAGAGCTCTCTATATATACAATATATAATATCTTTTTATCAACATTGTTTGTATATCCACAATGATATGGAGGTGAATGTAGGTTTGCACTTTCCGTTTCAGGCTTTCCTCCTATATAGGTTCTAGTTAGGTTACTGGCACTATTCAAATATAAGTGGTTGTTTATGTAAGTTGTTGACGGGAAAATCATTATATGTGAAGGAAATTTGAATTTTATATATATTTTTTCTATATAAACGAACCTAAATGTATTTAAAAATTTTATAATTGCATTTATTGATCCGGTAGTTAAGAGGAAAGTATCACAATGCAGTTGGTAAACATGGATTTTTTTTCCTATTAAGTTTAGCAACTGTAATCTTAATAGATGATAATAAATTATTATAATTATTAAATCACATTTTAATAATTATAAAAAGTTTCATTTTTAATAATTATTATTATTACGAGGGTAAATTTTAATGCTTATAATAATAATTTATAAAATATTTAAATTAAATAATGTCAAATGTTATGTTATTTTAATTTATCGATTGAAGATTATACCTCGTGTATATATATATATTATCCTTTCTGTCCAACACTATGAGAGGCTTTTAATTGTACCCATTATGGGTTTGGCCAGATGTCGGGGTGGGGCCCGGCGTATCCGGGACCGGGCGCAGTGCGAGATATGTCGACCCCATCTCTTGACATTCAAATTCAAATGTGGGAAATTTGATCAAAAAATCCTTCCTATTAAAGAAAAATAAAGTATATTTGAAATGTTTATGTTACTTACAGTTTTGAGAAATTAAAACTCTTAAGATACTGGTGATTTTTAAACCTTCTGAAGTAAACATATTTAATTATATAGGGGATTTGCTGACTTGTTTCCAATATAGATTATTCGTGACCGAAATTTCAGGATGATTCATCAATTTCTGGTGCAGCTTTTTTTCTACGACAGACAGACATTTTTGACAATTTTAAGTGTTTTATTTATATATATACAATAGATTAATGAAGGAAATTCATATCAGAAAACATGGACGTTCATTAATTTTCCCACTTTTACATTCTGTTTGTGTCAAGTGCAGAATTTGCAACGAATATATAAAGTTTGTACATTGTTAACACAGTACTGTAGTTAGTATTATTTCTTATAGTCGTAAAAAATAATTTGATAAATTAACAACATTCACTTTATAAATATGATCGAAATTATCATTGAACAAAAATATACAATGCTAATAATGTCCAGATGGCTATCTGAAAATTTCCATAAACTGGAACAATTCAACATCATCAGGAGTGGTCTTGTGTCCGATTAAAGGTATTTTGTATGTTAATTTTTGTAGGTGGATTTATCGTTGTCGCGTACAGATCTGCAACAGACCACCATCAAAAAAATTCTTGGAGTTTTGATTCTCCGTGTTGCTCGGAGTGGTAGGATGACAACTTAACTGTCTCGGCCATCTAAGTCAAATTTTCATAAGTAAGAACTTTTTTGTATTTGTTATATATATCCAAAGGATATTTTAGAAACTAAAACCTTTACTACCCAACATAAAATTTACACTGAAATAAATGCTTTGGACTCATAAATTAGCCATCATTGCATTCCAACCTAACACACACACACATACAAAAAAAAATTAATTGTAACATTAGTTAATTTAAAATCTTAGGATGCTTACAATGACAGGTTAAAGTAGCAACCTTCTAGTTACTTCTTTTAATATCTTTGCTTGCTACAAAAAGAAACGTCGAGTATATAACTTTCACTATTCTTATGGATATTACGACAATAAAGAAAAGTCGAGTACTATGTTTACTCGAATTTACAATCCAAATTTTAGTAAGTAGAAATCCGATGAAAGTCCATCGTCGAAAATGCCTGTAGTTCATAAACTATATAATTCTATTTCTGTTAGAAGTTACGATTATCCTTAATGTATCATAAAAATTCTAAATGTGAGTATAGGGTTTATGATGCAAATGACGATAATATTTTCTTCTGTAGCAGATATATCTTTTAATATATGAATACCGAGTGCGGAATAATTTTATAAAGCCTCGATTTCTTGACTTTTTAATCCACCTGATTTAAAATACATTTTTCAGTAAGTAAATAGAATAATTATATTACTTTTTTCTACATAATTTATATAGTTTTTCAGATAATTTATAATGTCCAAAAATCGTTACCAAAACAGTTATAAAAAAAATTTAACCTTATTTCTATTTTGAGCAAAGGCATTGCAGAGTTTCTTCCAAATTAACTGGAGTAACAAAAAACAAATTCTAAAATTACTAACCTTTCAAGTTTCTCTGATGCTTTTGACCTCCTTCAAGGTTTTCTTTGCAAGTTCTCGTGATAACCTTGAAAAAGGTTGAAAACATTGAAGAAAGAAAATTGGCAAGCTTTTTCCTACTGTTGTTGAAGTTCAGGGATCTTTTCACTATTTACAAGATTGTTTTCTATGATTAAGCTGCTGTCAGTTAGTTAATTATAATTTAACAAGATTCGTTGCCTTTTTTAAACAGTTCTGAATAATTATTTGGAATTTGATACTTCAAGAAGTCTGTACATAAAATAGTCTTAAACTTTTACCAATTTTTAAATTATAGACAAATAATAATCCTAGCTTTAATTCTTCATATCCTTGATTATAGAAATTTAATGAATCAATATTTTATAATACGTAAAGCATCGAGTGGTTACGGTCGCAGCCCCTACCACTCTGACGGCCCAGGATTAAAAAGGAATTTTTCGGGGTTGGTCTGTCCGGTGTGTTGGCCCTGTCCTTTGATACACAGCTGTTCTGAATCTGTAATGGGCCCTCTTAGTACCCGCAGGTACAGAAAGAGTTTTAAGGAATATGTAAAGCATCAGGTCAATAATTGTGAAAAAATTCTCTATTTATTACCTGTGAATTACTAAATACTGTATTTATTCCAATAAACAGCTGAAGGATGAAAAAATTTATAGACCATACTCTGTAATATAAGTGCACTGTCCATAGGCATTGATACATTGGGGCACATGATCCCTTTTATCTGAGTTGCCCTTTTCCTAATTACCAGGAGGGCCCCAAATTCTATCATTAACAAACAACAGACTTCTAGCCTATTCTGCAAATATAAAAGAAACTGGTGAATGATATTTGTCCATTGTCCCATGCAACTTTGTCATATGTTGACCAAAACCACATTCTTTGTTTTCGAGGCCAAGTTAGCTCAAAGTGCAACTTGCTGCACTTTGTGGGAGCGCTGAATTGATGTTGAATCGGAGAATTTGAAGCTTTTTGCATAATGTACGATACTCTATTTTGTAGCTTGTACTCTCTTTTTATATTCTGCATGTGCCTCTGTCACTGTCTAGTGGAGAAGATAAGGCTCATTGTAAACTTATAACTTGCACATTCTATTTGGCATTGTCACTCTTACTTTATTTTGAAATAAAGTGCAAGTGTATCGAGTATTGCATTTTTACTTGATTAATAATAAAATGAAAGCAGTTACTGGATTTATTCCGGTAATAATCTCCCTCGAATAACGGTTGCACCAATTCCCAAAGAAAAGAAATAATAGATGTCCTCTAATCATTAGCATTTTTTTTTTTTTTTAACTCAAACTTCTATTTAGACCTAATTACTATATACAATTCTTACCAGTATTATTTAATGATGGCTGTTATTCTTCACTTTAGCACCACTCTTGATTTAGTGCCAGATTTAGAGGTGACAAATGGTTTGATTTGATAAGATATGACTATGCAAGACATGAGCAATCTGCCAGGAGGGACCTTCTATGGGATACTGGCCTCTATTTAGGTGTTAATGTGAAGAAAACTGAAAACTCCACACAGCCAGCCTGTTGATCAAGTGCAAACCTGCAGCCAACTACCGGCATTCAGAGGTGCTATCTGCTTGGCTGCTGTCGGACAAGTGACAAACGGTGATAATATATTTAAATTTGACTTTCCACTTTAGTGAAAAGTTCTGGAATAATGATATACATAAACTTACTCATAAGTTTTGGGTTCAGTATTGCAATCTGAGGTTTATTCTTCTGTCAATATGTTTGATAAGTTTCTTTCTATATCACAATTGTCTGTTCAGTAGTCTGTAAGAATACCTTTTTTTCTTTTTTTTTTTGTAATTTTGATAGCTATATTTTAATAATAATCTCATATTATTTTAAAATACTGAAATATATTTTGAATATACATAAATTTTTTCAATTAATTAAATTTAAAAGATTTTTTTCGGCATAATTTTTGTAAGAAATCAATAAAGATATAAGTCATCATCTTTTACATTTATCTGGCATTGCTATATTTTCTTTTGTGTACAACTAGGTACAGTACAGTTAGAAACAATTGAATGTGCAAAATTTAAAGACCCAAAGATGGATATTGAACACATCTGAAAATGTTAGTCGGTAATTTAATTAATACAGAGAATGCATAGTGAAGTCCTTATACATCCACATAACCGACAGCTACAGTTACAAACACGATGTAAAGTTACGTGCTTGGAGCAATACCTCTTGCATCTCTCAAGGACTTTACTGTGTATTCTGTATTGTGCTATATTTTGTTAAAGGTATAAAAAAGGATTTTTTTAAAGAGTTTAAAATATATTAGCTAATCTTATCTGATGCCATTGTATAGTAAATTTCTTTTTGTTATTTCTTTAATTGCTTATTTACGAAAATAGATATTTCACATGCAATATCTTTCAGATTTGACATCGACTGCATTGATATCAATGAATATGCTGATTATTTTTTGCAACTGTCAAAGAACAGACATTTGTAAGGGTTTATTTACCTTGCAGAAAATTTAATCATATGGTAACAATATTTTTATCTCCATTCGATGGAATTTGCATTAAGCGGAAGCTATGAAAATTCCTGAATGTGTGTACAAAGAAGTCACATGGATCCATCCAAGTAGTTTTTTCATATACATATTTAGGAGAGATGGAGGGGACATGTGCCTCTACTTAACCAAAAATTTAAGATATATACAGAAAGAAAATTTACAAATAAGTAATCACTATTTATCTTATTACATTTATCTAAAAAAATAATTTTCTGCACAGACCTAATGCTATTTGTTTGGCCGATACCCAGAAAGTTCGGACAGAGGAAAAAATCGGCGAGTCAAATCCGATTGTATAGAGCGGTGGTTCTCGACATTTCCGAGGCCACGGAACACCATTCGTATACTTTGTTTTGCAGAGTATTAGCATTAATATATTCAAAAATCAAGAAGCAATTCAATGTTTATGTTACTATAAAATAATAAAGCAATAAACTAATAAAATTGATTGTATTGAATAAAGTAAAAAAAAGTGGAATTGTCTACAAATAAAGTAATATGTTGGAGTATGTTAGAATAAATTTGCAATTATTTTTCTTTTCGTAGAACATGGGTTTTCCACAGAACACGAGTCAAGAATCATTTGGAAGTGCCAGGTAGCATAACTTTTAATTTTTCTACACGATAAGTAGAAGCTTCAGATTTCAGTCCATTCTGAGACAGTTTATTTTCTTTTAATTCGAAAATTAATTATGATATAATTCTGATTATCCAAATTGATTTGTGGCAATTCAGATAAGTGGATTAACATGTAAAGAATGACATTACAGGGTAATGGCACAGTATTGTTTGTGTACTGTATTTATTTATTCGTCAATGTATCAGTAGCATACTAGTAATCATGCAATTGCACAATGTAAGAGAATTGCAGTGTGACATTGGTGAGAGAGAGAGATGGGTAAGTGGCGATTCGGATAATAATCCTCATTTGGATGATAGGAGTTTTACTATAATAATTAATATTTGTACAAGACGGTGACTTAACCGACCACCTTTATGACAAATTACATAGTTTGATTCAATTATTAGCGTACTGATAGTCCAAAAATCCTGCTTATAGATATTTAAGTACACAATATATAAATATAAAAACATTTTACGTCACATTGAGAAAGCATCAATAGTAAATACATGTTGAGAATGCCTTAATTACAGAGACATATAGGAATAAGCAGCAGACAAACATGATTAAGAATTTAAGTATGGGTTGTTTGTGAATCTTCCCCAACTGGGGCCAATGGCGTAGCGAACATAACTGGTGCCCCCTCCAGAAACACATGTAGTTTGTCTTGGAGACGATTTGGGTGCCCCTCTGCGAGTGGTGCCCGGTGCATGATATATCCCCTTGCACCCCCCTTGCTACGCCACTGACTGGGGCTCTGGAGTATTTTAAGCATAGTATCGCCACTGACCCAAGATACATTTCATATCCTGTTAAATTCATATAGTCTATACCATTGATGGTCAGTTGATCGAGCAGTTAAGGTGGTAGCCTACCACTCTGTGAGACCTGGGATCAAATCCAGATGGATAAAAAAATTTTCCAATAGGTTTTTGGAGAGTCTGGATACGTTGTGCGCAGTCCCTCACCATCCAGTTACCCCATTGTGGACTCTGCAGAACCTATAAAAGGCTTGTTAAAAAGGCTGTCTTAGCGCCCACAGAGCAGAAAGAGTTAAAAAAAAAAAGAGTTATAAATGTTAATATGACGTTACTGCATTCTTATATTTTTTATCTGTTGTCATTTAATTTTATAATAAATTTTATTACAGCAGACTTCATCTTACACTTCAACAGTTTAATGAAAGAACATATCACTATTTAGAAATTTACAAATGCTTAAGATTGAGGAATAAAGGTTTAAATTACAATTGCAGGAAATGCATCCTCAGAATGTAAGTTTATTTTAAGATTTGCAGATGGGTAATTTTTGCCAAATGTAATAATTAATTATTATCATTATTATTATTATTTAGGTGAATCAATCTTTCAAATCGACGACAGAAAATTCCATTTTTCACTGTTCTGTTTCCGGCTGCATGTATGCCGACGGTATGGAAAGATATTTCACGTCAAAAAAACTATTGAAACAGGTAAATATTGATAACATAATAAATAAGAGAAAGTATATCGAAGTGTATTTCACATGGAGAAACTGATTTGAAATGCAGTTATTATAATAAACAAATATTATTATTTAAAATATCACAGGTGTGTTGCCCAGTAAAGCAGCTTTACTGGGCAACACACACAGAAAGCAGGATTCACAAAAACAATTTTGTGAATCCTGCTTCTTGTATGTGTTCTAATTAGTCTAGCCATGAGATTTGGATCAATTATCATTAAGATTCATTATTGTCAAGGTGGATCAAGATGGCAGTGTTCTAGACATAGGTCAAACAAAATACTATATATATTAAAAAAAGGATATAATTCAATATGATAAATGATAAAAATAATTACAAAAATTATAGTGACTACTCAATTCTTTCAGTACTTTTGTATTTTTATTTTTCTTTATGTAGCATTTCACTAAAGTCCATGCAGAAAAGAAGTATTTATGCTCAAAATGCCAGAAAGGGTTTGGGGCAGATTGGATGAGGAAACGTCATGAAGCAACTTGCGGAACGGATTGGTGTTGCTCCTGCGGAAATCAGTATGCATCTTGGGAATCGTTAATAACTCACACTAGACGTACACAGCACGTTATGCCTCCCCACTTCCGTCACCGGCAGAAAAAGTATGATCAGGTTATAAAATCACTCTTACAATTTATTCTATCCTTCAATGTAATTTTGATATTGTAATCTTTCTAGATTTAAAAATACACCCCCTAAACAAGTTTTCTCACCTTTGGTAATTATCATCCAGCAACCGCCCATACAGATTGTTCCTTCCGTGTTTTCCAGTTCGCAAACTCCCATTAAGCATCGAAAAATCTTACCGAAATGTCTGTCCTCTGCACCAAAACAATTCGAAAATACAAATTCTGTTAATTCTTCTGAAAGGACGCAGTCGAATGATTTGTGTAACATTGGAACCCAAACTGATCCATTGTTTTACGATATTGGCACTTGGACTTCAGTTTGCGGAACTGTATTTCCCGAAAAAATTTCCGTCTCTAACACTTACATGCCTTCAGAAAGAAATAATCAGGTTTCAATATCCGCATCTCTGTTTTCCGAGAATATGTCTACTGAGAGATCAACCGATCAAAGTATTGGTAAGATTCAAAATAAAATGGCTGTCGAAACTCAGACTTCGGGAGACGACTTGAAGGAGCAGAATATCCAAAGGGAAAGCAGAGGTTCTCAGTGTTCCGGAAGAGCTCTGATTCAGCGATCTGATATTCAGATTGAAAGCACTCATACACAGACAAATGAGAGCACAGTTGTGAAAATGAAGAAAGCATCACTGAAAAGGATTCATGGAAATAATAAAAATAAGAAAAGAAGTGAGAATAAAACAGGAGAAATGAAAAATAATTACTGGTCCAGTTTAAATACAGTCCTGGAAGATGCGTCTGTAGACAAAATCAGCTGGCAAGCATATTTGTCTCGATGTTCTTCAAGCACTCAGACAAGTCCCAGAATTAAAGAGAAAACAGTCTGCGATTCGGAAACTCTAACAGATCAGCTATCCTCATCGTTTTGGTCAGAACCGGAAAATAATTTTGCCTCAACACAATCTCAAGAAATATATAGTTATACATCAAAAATTCCCGAAACTAAATCAAGCGACGACGTTTCGACAAATGAAGAAATATCTCTTAATATCTTGTCTTCTTTTGTCGAACCATTTAATCAGCAATCTCTTTCCTTTCCCTTAGAAGAAATTTCCACAAATTCGGTACGTCAGGCCATCTCCGATAATTCCCAGCAGCTGTTTAATATAGAAACACAAACCGAATTCAACAAAAGGTTGTTAGACGATGTTGTACAGCAATCTGTACAGACTGATTTCTACCCTCTTCTCTCTCATACACAGACACAAACGTCCGAAGTAGACGAGTTCTATTCTAACGTCCTGGCCAATATGGAAACTCAAACCTCTGAAGAATTTCTGTTTTCCGATTTAGAATTTTCGGATATTGAAACACAGACTCCCTGGAACTACCTGTCTTGCTTAGAAGACGATTCCGAATCTCTGTCATTAAATCTCGACACGGGCACCGACCCGTTCGAATTTTTGAAGGACGGCCAGAATAGAATTTCGCCGACTTCCGCCATTCTGAGCGACATGGAAACGCAAACAAATTATCAGCTCAACACTATCGAGCTGACTGATTCTTACGCGCAGACGCTGGATCTTAATTTTTCTGAAGATCTGTTTCGTTCCTGATGACACGAGTCAGAACTTTTTTAAATAATTCCGTAGACGTTACGAGTACATACCATATTTATTTATTAGAAATTTATTGGTAATTTCTTTATCTTGTATAATTTGTGTACTTATTGTAAAATAATATTTCTAACATTTTTTATTACTTTGTAATAGTTTATATACATTTGTAAATTTGTTAAGATTTAACTTTTTTTAGTTTAGTTAATATTCTGTTTCTATAATTTTTCTTGGCGTAATTCATTCTGAAATTTGAATTGTGTCAAGATAATTTTGGAAAAGAATAACTGCCACCCGCTTTTTACATTTTCAATGAATTGTTAACATTTTTTTAACTTTGTTTGAATAATAAAAATTAACTTAAAACTACCTACGAACTGATGATTTCTTCTTTCACTGTTTAATTTTTCATAATTTAATTACTGTTAGTATATACAGAGTATACACAAATTATTGGATGATTTTTTAAGACCATATTTTCACCAATACCGAACAGAAATTCATGATATTACCACCATTTAAAAGATAAATATTTGGATGATAATGATAATCAAGGAAGTGACTATAGTATCTAGCTTTAACTGTTTGTTACTGTACTACACAATGAGACAAGAAGACCTGTTAAGTCATATGCAATGATCATTAACACTTTTATATTACCCAATTCTTGCTTCAGTTTTTTGGGGTGTGGGGTTGATAGACAGCGCAACTCATTCAGTTGGTATTTAGCTGTGGTTTCTGGGTGTAGATCCAAGAATCAGACGACTTCTGTGTTTTGTCAATTGCAAAAATCCAACAAAGGAGAGATTCTCCTTCATACTTGTAATGCAAAAAATTTCAGCAATTTCCATTTGTTACCATTTTTGCATATCATTCAAGGTGTGAGGCACCTATCTGTCAGCAATTTTGTGCATTCCTTGCTTTGTCAAGATGTGGTAAACTGGAAGATGTGGTGCCTACATTGGCACTCATTTCTTGGTGATCATTCTCCAATAATCTCAAAACAACTTCCACACATTTGTGTGCTGCAATGAATGGCTGTTACCATGCATAATCTCGATATTCTGTTGCCCATAGTAAAAGGCTTCAACTCATCAGACTCTTTTATTGTCTATCTTCTGGGCCATTCTGACAACTTTTTCTAGAACGATGTTAAAGAGGAGATAGCATCTCCGTGTTTTGCTCTGAAATCTGTCCGACCTTGTGGCCCCGGTTTTTACTGTATACCACACCTCATTCATGCAAATTTCTGCAATTCTGGAGAGTTTGTCTGATATCTCAAGCTCCTTCATGGCCTTCCACACTGATTGCCTGTGAATGCTGTCATACGCGTTTTTAAAATCAATGAACAACAGGTGTGTGTCGACATTGTATTCCCAGTTCTTCTCAAGAACCTGTCTTAATGCAAAGATTTGATCGATTGTGGCTCTATTTTTTTCAGAAACCAGTTTGATATTCACCCACAATTCCCTTCATGTATGGAGTCAAGCTCCTCATAACTAGAGATGACAGGATCTTGTATGTCACCTGGAGTAGGGAGATCCCCCTGTAGTTTTTTACACTCCATTTTATTTCCTTTCTTATGGATGGGGATTATGCCTGCTTCCTTCCATTCCATTGGCATTCTTTCCTGTCTTTTGATCTGCAGAATCAGATTATAGATTGTCTTTGCAAGCTGCTGTCCACCATATTCGATGAGCTCGGGTTTGATATTGTCAGTCTTTGCAGCTTTGTGATTATGTAGATTTTGTATGACGACCTGAACTTCACTCTGAGTATGTTCTTTAACTTCTGGTTGAACAGTGTGTTTTGGGAGGGATGGGGTCTGGACACTTCAGAAGATCCTGGAAGTATTCTTTCCATCTTTTGGAAACTTCCTGTTCGTTGGCTAACAGCCTCCCACATGCCTCTTTGATGACCAGGGGTTTTGGTCGATATGTGTTGTATAGAGTCTTAATGTCTCTGAAGAAATCTCTCACTTTCCACTTCTTATGATTATTCTCTGATTCTTCAAAGCAGAGAATAATCTTATGTTTTTGTTTTTAGAGCCTACAGGCTCTAAAAACAAAAATATAACAATTGCAAGGAAAGTTATGCAATTCGTTGTTGGATTTTTTTAAACTTGTATGCCTGATTTTTGGTCATCCTGTATGTAAAAAAGTTTTCAGTAAGATTCCACGAATGATTTCTCTCAAATATAATTTAGATTTTTTGAAATTATGCCTTAAAAAATCATCATCAGCCAAGTTCATTTGGCATTCATTGTCCAGTGCCAAATTAATTAGTTACAAACCCCTTTCTGACTAATGACGTTATGCTTGTGGTACACAAAGGACTCCCAAGGCCTGAAACGAAATTCATTTAAAATCCACTATAAATGTTTATCATCATTTTTTTTTATTATTGTTGGCAGGTTTATTACACAGGGCAAACTTGGCAAACAATTTCCACAATACGGTTTTTATACACAAGAAATGAAACATTACCCTGCTAGACACTTCAGACAGTACAACAGAGGCATTCTCTGTCCCAAAGGTTGCAGCAGCAAATAACCCCATCAGCTGTTGTTATCTGATAAAGAATTTTTGCTCGTAACAGATGGCGCAATGAAATATATTGTCTCTTGGAACAAAACACTGCCCCTTGCTGGGTATGTCCTTGGGTCCTACCTTAAACACATCATACCTCTGGTACTGCTCTGGAAAACTCAGGAGGTTGAAAAACTCCAGAAATTTTTCATGGATGGTCCATTCCTCACCACCTGGCTTCCATTGTGAGCCTGACAAATCCACAACCATCTTAGTGCCCTTAGGGCAGAGAAATTTCAATATAAGGAAAGAATTAACATTTAGTAATGTTGATCCTTTACAATAATTCTAACTAGGAAGGAATTAGTTTTTGGGACCTCCTTAGTATCTAATGAAAGTAGAGCTTTTGGTCCTTCAATTTATCAAGTACAAAATGTCTGTAGCTAGATTATCGCGTCATCTGATACGAACTTTGACATCACAATCTATAATCTAGCACTCATTCATTATCCTATTGAAGTTACGTGTAGTAGTTGCATCGAATCGACATCATTTCTATACACGTGTTCGGTAAACGAACTAGATGCACCAGTGCACGTACGGATCATTTAGTAAAAGAACTGTTTTCGGTAAGCGGCATTCAGAAAAAACCAGTTGCTTTTGGTGCCAACACTAAGCACAGTGTGTTCAGACTCAGTGCAACAATATGGCTGCTTCCACGTGTGACCAATTTAGTTTTGCAGAATACGAATTTACTTTTGGATGAAGAATTATCTCAAACACTTACATAATACAACTTTTTGTAATAGTAGCGAGACCTCGAGTTGCTTCTCCGACATTTTGGAAGCATGCACCAATCGCTCAGCAATTCCGCTCTATTAAGTCATTTCATGTACTAGTATTATGCCCAAGTTAATTTACTGTAACGTAAAAAAAACACCCCTCGAGTCTATATTTCATAAAAATAAGTCAGTAAAATAAATCAATAAATCGCTTAACTGTTTGCGTACTAAAAGTAAAACGTATGGTAATTGGCTAACTTCCGATTCTCGATATTAGAGAGGTTGCGGCCGACGTTTTAAACGCAAAAACGCGTACGTCGGACGTTCAGCGCCGCCTTCCTGTAAGCCTAGAAGTTTGGCAATGGCATTTAGAACGTCGAGCATGATTCTACTGACGTTCCAAACGCCATTGTCAAACTTCTAGGCTTACAGGAAGGCGGCACTAAACGTCCGACGTACACGTTTTTGCGTTTAAAACGTCGGCCGCAACCTCTCTATTTTGTTGCGAATGCGATCGTTAAGTGTTTGTTGTAGTACTTTACCATATTCTTGAGTATATTTAACTCTAGAATATATTGTGTTTAATTACTAGAGTAAAGATATTGCTAACCTCGCTTGCTTTCACCCATTTCGATCTCTGTTATTAGGCACTTGGAAATTCGTGAATGCATTCATTTTGGGGACCGTTCGAATTACAAAATGGCACACAATGGTGCACAGTTGCGAGTTAAATCCAGCGTTCACTTAAATAAACAATTACTTTCTGCGTATATTATCTTTTCATTCTTATATCGAAAATGCAGCACTTTGAATTGCCGCTACCTGCCACACACGTGGTTGTTGTTTATCTACTGCAACGCGACTCGCGGGCGATGTCTCCCGGGAGGATTTTCTATGGAAACTGGCCCCCCATTTAGGAAAACTCCACGTGACCAAGCCCGTTGACGATGCGCGAACCCACGACCTTCAATTGTTTGCATCCTCTCGGCCATTGATGGCCTCATCACTTGGCACATTTTAGAACGCATTTTTAACGCACTCACGAGCCAGGCCCACGATGGGGGCCGAAAAATTCCTGAACTTTTACGTTATATTAAAAACACTAAATTGAAAGAATTTCTATTGTAGAGCCGATGAAATGAAAGTAATAACGTAACAACGAGGTGCCGTCACGTTCTGTAAGGTTGTAATTTTCGTGTTACGCTACGATTTATTTTCAGGTAGTTTCGATTTTTTTACCAATTACATCTCGATCTGTTACGTTCTAACCTGCAACGAAGGACATTTTGTTTGTTCTTCGTAAGCCATTGACGTATTTCCGTACATTGATGTGTGTTATCAACGAGACACGAATGTGGATCGAGTCGGTGACATGTTTTTTTTTTTTTTTTTAAGAAATATATCTTCTAGGTGTTAATTTCTTAAATACAAGAGGGTGCATCACGTGTCTTAACGATCTCCCCGATCATGCGTAATGAACGTAAATAAACTGAAAAATCGATAAGTAGTAAGCAGTCATGGAAACGACCCCCCCTCAAGCAAGTGGGAGGTGTTTATGCAACTAAAGAAACGGTAAGTACACACTTTAATACACTACATTCATTGTTCTCCACGATTTGAACGCCGCATAACACCATTTTTTAAATTTGTTAAATTAGTATATGGAAAAAAGTCCTCATTTGCTCATAGTCTGTAGCACGTGTGAAACCTTAATTATTCTTGTTGAAGGATGGGTTTATCGTTTGGGATTCACAAAACAATCGAGAACAATTGGCACTACACGGAAAAAGTGATTCGTTAACATAAGTAACATATTAAATTTCATTATTTTAATATTAAAATATGGTAATTTATGTTGCAAAACTGTAAGAATGGACAATGACCTTGAGGAAAAGCAAGAGAAAACCTGTTTGCCCTCAAGGGCATCGTCCATTGTTCCCGAATCAAGATCTTCTGTTGCTCTAAGGGCTACGGGAATTTGATTCTCCTGTTTGCTATTTCAATTTGCAGTCGGTTTTAAACAATTTTTCATTAAAATCATATGAGATGATCATGGATTTTTTATTTTTGCATTGGATCCTTCACGTTGCGTGCATGTAATTATGTAATTTCTATCATGGACGAGGTGTAAACTATCAGTCGCTGTTCTGGTCATTTCAAATTTTCCAGTGGATTGATCGGGATACGCCGTCATCAACCCCCACTGAACTCGTAATGGACGCGAAAGAGGCCCTCTTAGGGCCTTCGGAGTGGATGGAATTTCGAAACAATGGCATGTTTTTTTTCCCTTGTCTTCTACTTTCTAAATCTTTAACGAAAAGTAAATTTTCGTGCTTTTAGAGTATACAGGGAGTTTCAAAAGTCCGTTAACCGAGATGTAATGGCGAAAACAGGTCTGCGATTCGCTTTATTGAAAGTTAACTAACTTTTGGGGCCAACTTATTGTTCATTTTGGCAGTGATGCAGACGTTTTCGTGGAAATAGTCCGAATTTGGCAAATTGTTTGATTGTAACCTTCAAAGTGAATTCGATAATTATAAATTGTATATTTAACAGCAAAAGGATGAGAGATTTATACTGATAAATCAAGTAAAACCTTACGAAAAACAGCGATATAACGAGGGAAAAAAACACACACACACACACACACACACACATATATACGCAAAATCAATAGATTATATAAATGGAAAATTGTATTGAAAACGTCAAAAAATCAATTCTTAGAAACAGATCTTTGAATTCTAAACGACTTAGACACTCCAAATATTCGACATAAAAAATTACGCATTGAAATTCCTATTTGAATCAAAGAAATGGTAGCATCATGGGCCTACCCCAAAACCTCGTTGTAGCGCCCGTCTCGATTTATTTACATGCAAAAGTATGGTGATAAATCGAAGTTTTCATGTAAAATAAGGTTATCTAGCATTTTCTTTGCCATACCTTACTAAATAGTGGCACAGTTCCTTCGGAATACCATTTTAAGAGTTGGATTTTGCATGAATCCGTATTACCAGGATTTTATTTATTTTGTACACAACATAATGATGTATTTTTTTTACAGGATTACACGATCTTTCTTACGGATTGTTACTTAAAATCTCAAATATTCCATCAATTGGAATTGCAGTTTGTTAGGATTTTACTGGGAGATTCAAGAACTAAATTCTAGAAATATGAAAATATGAAAGAACTGTTTGGTGAGTTAACTTATATTTTGTTAATATAAAAATTCTTTGGTGTAAGAAGTAATTCTCGATTATTCTTTTGCAACAGGGCGTGAGTTTTATTACAAGGAAACAAGATCTTGTTTCAGCAGCTGCTATTGTTACAGATGTAATTATCGGACACTTGCATCCTTCCTAAGGTATGATTTTGTAAATTACCATATTTTTTCCTTTTTTTTTTTTTTTTTTAAATTCTTTTGGCTTTGTGGGCACTGAAAGGGCTTTATTCTTGCAAGTCCATTATGGTTTGGCCGGGCCCACGATGAGTGGGGCTGGGCGGTGAGGGACGGATGGACTATATTCGAAACAACCCACTTAGATTTGATCCCGGGTCCCCGGAGCGATAGGCTGCCACCTTTAACTGCTCGGCCATCCGGCCTCCAAAACAAATTACTATTATAAATTGTACAAGTATAGAATAAATTCGTGGCATCGACGGTGCTCTGATGTTTTAATTGAAAGTGCTTTCGACCTGCTTAACGAGCCGTTATCGGATTTGTTAAGTGGGCCGACAATGTCATCACTACGTATCGCAATGTAGAATTACTCATTTGCTAATAATGAACATTAAAAATGTTTTATGAATGAATTTCATATTTGCAAGAGCAATATGAAGTTACCATGATCATCATGGAGTTATTTTCTATATGACAACTCCATTTGTAGCAATTCGCACCTTAAAATCAATATCTAAAGATGACAAAAACATCATCGATGCCAGAATGGGTGTGGTTGGTACTGTACAATTACCTGTGTCTGAGATCTGGAGAGCCCATAAAAGATCATTTCTATGATACGCAATAGAGGGTCTAGCTGAATCACGATTGGTCTTTCTCTTGGAATCCTGCATAGAATAAAATGTATTAAATTGAAATTTTCTCCGAAGAGTGTGTTCCATAAATCTAGAATTGTAGGAGTTATGTTGATCTTCATTTATTCTTTTATGGGTAAATTATATTGCCAAGTAAGAAGAAACAAATTCTAGTTATTTTGATGGGGTGATCTGAGTCGGCATGAAGCTGCCATAGTTTAATGGGTTGCACCCAGATTGACAAGTGTAACTAATGGAAAGTCGGATGTAGCCCTTTAAACTCTTCGGCAACTTCACACCGACTGTGGGCTCCACCATCAAAATAACTCAAATTTGTTCCTTCTTACTTGGTGCAGTGCTTTACCTGTAAAGAATAAACAAAGATCAACATAACTCCTATGGTTCCAGACATATGGGATACCATGTACATATTCTTGTAGGAGTTTACTTGTTTATTACTTAAGAGGGGAGGACAAACAATGCCATGAGTCAATTGTGTTTGTCATACATTACAAGAAACACTTAAATCTTGAACACTTACTATGGATACAAGAACATTTGAACACCCTGCCAATTTTTGGTCACCCCATATAATATTTTGTTTAATACAAATTTTTAATAATTAATAATTTGATGATTAATTTATTCTGGTCCTTTTTTCCCATCCATTTTAGCATTTCCTTTTAATGAATTCAGACCTCATAAACATCAGCGGAATATGGGCCATGACCAATGTCACTCTGGAGACAAACGGAAACCAATCGGACGACGCAGTCGTACGTCTGGCAGTCTATGCAATTCTGGCCATTATAGGAACCATGCTAAACGTACTTCAAATCAGCGCATTGATCGTTCAATACGACTTACACCACTCCAGAAACACTCTGATTGCCAACAATGCCATCTCTCACATGATCATAACTTTGGTAGTGTATTCGAGAATTTGTATTGATATATTATCCCGTAACAGTGATAAAATCCACATTTGTCATTGGTCCTGGTACGGCAGTTTGCTGACATTTCTCACGGTTACCTTTAATTATTTAGCAATTGCCCTCGAAAGTTTCGTTTACACCCATAAATTTTCCTATCATACCAAACAATTATTCTCTGGTAAAAAGTATATAATAATCAATATTGTTTCCATTTGGTTAATATCTTTAAACTCCATAACTTTTATAATCATTAAAAACAAGTTAGACATATGTAAACAAAGCTATTATAACAACAGTCTGTACCTGTTAATTCTGTCTCCTATCATCTTAACTCTAATTCTCTTCATAAAATCCCTTCATTCATTAAAGGTGCAAAATGATCATCTACCCAGCAACGATAACGAACTGACAAAGAAAAGATTTCAGTATAAATTACTGAAAAGTAACAGCATTGCATTTCTGTTATTTTTAATTCAGTGGTTGCCTTTGATATTCACTATCCTTCTGTCCGAGCCTAATGGCGTTTGGTACTCTGCCGTCGAGAACCTGTTGATTCTGGCACAGAGCCACAGTTGCTTCTGGAGCCTGTGTTATGTGTTCAGCAATCACGCCTTCCATCAAGCGTTTGCACGAAACATTAGATATTTTTGTTTCAAATCACATGTAGAATGCTCAAAAACGCTCCAGGAGAAACCTTATGGTTCTGTTAGAGTCCACATAGGAATGGAAACCAGAGTCGGCGAACGGAATCAGAAATTCGATAACGTTCTGTCGGCCATGTTGCCGAACGAGATGCCGCAAGCAAAATCCGAACTGGATTTCTTGTAATATTTTGATTACCCATGCATGTTAAGGTGACTTTAACTGTCTTTTGGTCTTGCTGGAACAAAGATGGCCTTATATGCTCATTGTGGGTTTGACTTGGCCCACAACTGGTGACTGGATAGTGAGAGATGCATTCCAATATATCTTGGCCAACTGACCAAAATCTTTATTTAAAAATAAATAGAAAGAAAGATTAAAGACACCATTATATATATATCATAAACTATACAAACTAGGAACACACTACAATACTCTTACTAACCTAACCAATCAATGATGCTAGTATGTATCATACACACTACCATTTGCCTTACACCACTAGTTTACACCACTTACCATTTGCCTTATATTGTTTCATGGTCAGAGCGTACACTGAATGTATCCCAAAACAGCAGTTCTCAAAGTTCACGTGGTCTGTGGATTGATAACTAAGTCATAGACATACCTCAAGCCATCTATGCCTCCGTCCACTTGCATCCTGTAAATATCACCTTAGATAATGGGATTGTGCCAAAACATTTTGTTTATCCAGTAATCTAATGTGATAGCTATGATGTGCGAAAATGTTCTGCATTTTGAAAAAATGACTATATAAGTCCGCAAACTACCCGGCACATTCTCGCAGACCATGGACCACATTCTGCGGACTACCACCCTAAAACATCAGCCTTAACAATTTAGAATTTACATACAATCAAACTTAAATTTAGCACTATTGCTTGTTTGCCTCTAAAATTGGCACTACGTTGAAGAACTCGGAGTAACAAGATCTACACACGAGTTTATCACCAAGTCACGCCACTTCGTGCTTTCTATATTGTTTGCAATGCAAAGTTGTAAATTTGAGTAATTCATGGATGTGTTTGATATCCAATCAGTCTACTTAATATTTACGGGAAAGGTCTGTTTGTGCATATTTATTGGCAATTAAATAGCACCATCCTCAAAGAGCATCCTCCTTGAGAGCAGTTCTGTATCATTGTTTAACTATAAATATACATTAATAAAGACTACACATAGGAGTGCTATGGACAATCTCATAATTGTGAATGTTTTATAATTTTCTCAAATAAATATGCAAAAAGTAAAGTATATCTATAGAAACATATAGTGATGAAAATTACCTTTTTGGCTCAAATAATATATTTATTTAATGACAACCTTAAAATACAGACCTTTTGTAAAGAAAAAAGTCTGTTCGTTTAATTACTTCTTTGTAATTTATAATGATATCAGTGTGCAAAAATTCTTTAAATGAACAAATCATGTAATAAGGCTCACCGCCAATTTTCCGGCATCACTTAATCTGGACAGAATTACGACAGGTTGCTTAAAGTTACTGCGATAGCCAGATTAGTTCACCGAATGGTCACAGATAGCATTGCCTGTAGGGTGCGTATGCTTGGACTGTATGTTGCAGTTGGCAGAGATCCCTCTATTTTGTGCCTTTTTCTTAAAATTTCTTATGACTTCTATGAAAAATAAAGCATCAATTATATGAAATGTTTAACGTTAGTTCAAGTTCAGCATAAGTTTAAATTTCTAGCAGTCTGTAAATACTTTAGAACAGTGTTCCACAAACTCTTACCAGTGACTCGCCACTTTAGAGACACGAGAGACATATAGTTAATGGTCGGGGATGTACCGTTGAGTCATTATGCGACCTCAGTCGATACGAAGCTTTGGAACAGAGCGTGCCAGAAAATTGGCAGTCGATCGGCACTATCACTCAAATTCAAAAGAAGGATTTCTCATTATCACCGTTACTTTTCTTCGTTCAAATGTAAATTGACATCTTACAATTATTTTTCTGCTTTGAATATGCCACAAGAATTCCTCTCTCCACTAATTTTTGTGTATATAGATAGTATTTATTTGATTAAATTATTTATTACAGAAGCAAGTTTGTGTTTATTTTGGCTTACATTACTTTCATTTTTTTTTTAAATAAATTAAAAATGCTTAACGTATACCTCTACTTTAAACTTCTAAATCCCCTTTCGAGTAACATGCAATGCTAAGTTAAAGGATATTTTGTAGAATGAAGGACTTAGTTCATTTTTCATGAACTAAGTCCTTCATTCTACAAAATATCCTTTAACAATTCATCTGGAATGACGTAAAGTCTCGACAGAATGAGTCTCTACTTTATTTTGAATTAGTTACTTGCCAAGCGGTAATATTCTTGTAAGGTTGTCTCATTTCTTACCAGTTTATATGCTCGCAATATTAATCATCCTTATATTAAATAAATATGAAGTTTCTTCATCTGAAAGAATTAGAAATATTAAGTGTTTAATGCCCTGAAATTTCTGTAAGAAATTCAAATTACAGCACAATTCTGTTCCACTCTTACTTTGGTTATAGTTACTGGCTGTAAATAACTGACAGTTACTTATGACCTGGAGATAATATAATATCTTACTTAAACAGCAGCACAGTTTGTAATTTAAACTGTGCCAATACCTTTCATAGGACCCAAGAAAGAGGGATTGGGATGAGTGGTGACTTTGCCATTGCATATACTCTCATGCACTTGTATTTAGTTACTACGTAGCAGAAGCAAGATATGTGCCAATTCTGTTTATTGATGAATCCCCAAATAACACTAGAATAGCTTCTAAGTTAATTTTAATCCCTGTCACGTCAATACAAAGTAAGAATAAAAGTTTTGTCTCTAGCTGTTTTTCAGATATTCCTGTTGAAAATTTGGTGTCCATTTTGTGACACCCTGTAGGTATATAGCTAAGAGTCTCGAGCAATAAAATTTTAGAAATATATCATGAAAAAAATAGTTATTAAGCCTGTTAAAGTGTGGGGCTATTAAGTTTAAAAATAGATAAGCAGAATACTTATCATAAAATTACATTTATTATTCAGAAACATTACATTTCCTTTACTTTGATTATGATTTGTATTATCAAAAAATAATTTGAAACAATTATTTTCAGGTTTATAAAAGTAGACTTGTAACTATGTTTCAAAAAGTAAGATAATATAGAAAGAAACCATAAGACTTTGTACTGAAAATAAGTTGATTATTCTTAAAAATTTAAGTGATTCCATGAGAAACTCATTTAAATCCTGATTACCTACATTAAAAATACAATTTTTCTACAAAAACTTTTACCATATAAGCGTTAAATTACACACGTATGTCACTAAATTGACGAGCGCTTTCGGCGATATACAATTTCGTCTTCTTCAGGTCATATTGTCGAAAGCGCTCGTCAATTTAGTGACATACGTGTGTAATTTAACGCTTATATGGTAAAAGTTTTCGTAACAAATGAGTAGCGTGCTGTCTATCACTATACAATTTTTCTACCGATTCTATTAGTTTCAAGTACATTGTCTCAATCCTAAAACATATTTTTTCTTTAATCTCTCAGAAAGAAAGCTGCACCTCGAGCCAGATTTACGTATGTAATGTCTTGTGTTTGTAGCATTTATCGGCATAACGTGATTAATTGTAACATCAAACAATTTACGTTCTCGCACATATTAGTATCTTCTGCTTTGAATAACTTACATTAAATTGAATTATCTCTTGTAATTAGAGGATTTGATCCCAGGATCTCGAAAATCGGGATCCCGGGATCCCGACCACTTTTCAGTCCCAAAATTTTCGGGATTAAGTTTTCCTAATCCCGGGATTTTCGGGATTGACATCATTTTAAAAAAATTGCAAAATAGACTGCATGAAGCGAAACGTTCAGTGCCAGTGCTTTTAACAGAATTGCTTGCCTATCATTTTAATATAAAATACAAGAAATTTTATTCCAAGCAAGCAGCAGAAATTAACCAAGCGGGCTTGCGATGCTTGCTTGGAATAAAACTTCTTGTATTTTCAACTAAAATGATAGGCAAGCAGTTCTCACTGGGTTACTTGGTAATATACTTCATTTTTGTATTTTTGAATTTTCGCGGGCGCCAATCGATTTTCTGGCGCAGTCGAGAGCACTACTCAGTGCGTTTTACCTGTCAATGTGTCAGCCATCTTGTTTTGCCAGTGTGGTTAATATAGACCTGACGCTACTCGCTTGGGGGGGTCGACCTTAGGTGAAAAGGTTATGACCCTCGCCTTGTCCGCGATCTGTCAGGATGATGCGAGAAAGTCTTTTTACGTTTCGGGGTAGTGGTTTGCTGAACGCTGAGAGACTCACACAGAGACCGAATTTACAAAATTAACGCGTTTATTTTTTGAAAAACATGCTTACAATGATCGAAACAATCGGGATTATAGCCTTTACTCCTACAATCCCGATCCGTGTCGACCGGACTGTTTTCTTCCATCCTCCCCGTGTCCTCGAAGCTTATAAGTATTTACTAACGATTCCTCCAACTTCCATCAACCTAAACGCGTTTTCTCTGCAGCTGCATATATGTGCAACAAATTGAGAAGCAGACTTGGTGATGAGACACTAGATGCGTTGTTATTTCTCAGATCATATTTTCGCAATTCAAATTAGAATGTTCCTATTAAATTAGTTTTCTTTATATTTAAGAAAAATGTGACTGATTAATATTATTTTTAAATACTTTTTCCTAAGAAACTTACTTTACTACCTACTTACTAGGTTGTTATATGAAAGTAGTCTATTTAGTCGATGTTAAGAGAGATTTTTGTGAATTTTCAACGTTTATTTGCATAGTTTGTTACATAAAAGTTTTTTCAATTTATGTGAGTTTAAAGAGATCTCAGTGATGCTTAAAAAAGAATAAATTTAACATGAAGACAGTGATTTTAAGTCTGGTTAGTCTGACTGTAAGTCTGATTAATTAGAGTGATTAAATTAACTAGGTGTATACCGTAAAATACGTTGATTTTTGTCTAAATTTTGATTTTTAATTTCTGTAAGATTTTCTTATTTTTTATTAACCCTCAATACCGAAATAATCCCGGGATCGAATAAGTATAATCCCGAAATCCCGGGATTAGAAATAAGGACCGGGATCGAATTCCCTACTTGTAATATCACATGATATATTACTCTAGCGCAGTGTTTCTCAACCTCTAACGAATCGTCGCCCCCCTTCAACATAGTATCGCCCCCTTCAATAAAACCACTACATAGTATCACCCGCCCCCTTCACTACAAAATTCCGATGCCGAGGGACAAGGCTAACGCCAAATTCGTACTGCATCAAATAGACTAGTGACTATATAATGTTATTTGTTTACTTATTGTACGATATAACGAATAAAATATCTAATTATTCTTAATATAATGTTTTACTATNTTATTCTTAAAAATTTAAGTGATTCCACGAGAAATTCATTTAAATCCTGATTATCTACATTAAAAATACAATTTTTCTACCGATTCTATTAGTTTCAAGTACATTTTCTCAATCCTAAAACATATTTTTTCTTTAATCTCTCAGAAATAAAGCTGCACCTCGAGCCAGATTTAAGTACGTAATGTCTCGTGTTTGTAGCATTTATCGACATAACGTGATTAAATGTAACATCAAACAGTTTACGTTCTCGCACAGATTANTCACTCGCCCCCTTCACTACAAAATTCCGATGCCGAGGGACAAGGCTAACGCCAAATTCGTACTGCATCAAATAGACTAGTGACTATATAATGTTATTTGTTTACTTATTGTACGATATAACGAATAAAATATCTAATTATTCTTAATATAATGTTTTACTATATCACCCAGAAAATTATTTTTTCGTCTCCCAAAATATATATTGTTACTAATCGCCCCTTGAACATGGAAAAACGCCCACATGGGGGGCAATATCGCCCCTGTTAAGAAACACTGCTCTAGCGGGAGTGCTTAGTAACAAACCTAAGTACACAACTAAATCACAAAAGTTAAATCACTTTCGACTCGTTCGTTTGAGATCGTAATTGTGCTTTAAAACTAATGTCATTTTGTTGCATAAGAGGTTATATATACAAACTTAAATCTATCTTTACTTTTGGATTCTGAGAGAAACGTGATAGTTTGACAACCCACATACAGCAAATTGTAGTGAAGTTTTCAATATTTTCACATAAATTTTGAAATATCCGTTACACCTCTTTTTTATTTCAGTTAAGTACATTGATAATACTGTGTAAGGGGCCTTTTTTCCACTGTAGACACAGGTTAGAATGCTACCTTTCCTGAAATAAACATAAATACTTCTGATGCTAACTTTAACTTTAATTACGGAATATTATACGAAATATTTAAATAATTAATTATAAATATTACATATTTGGAATTTTTTTCTTTTTTTGTGACATTTTTATACTGTTCCCATTAATTTTTCCACCTCCCGAAATTTGCCACTCTGTGCCTGGCCCACCACACCTGCTTAGAAATATGACCCAACTGCATGTGTTGAAATTAACTAAAATTTAGACTATTTGAAAAGTTTTTTTTTTACTCTTCCTGCTTCACGGGCATTAAGAGGGCCTTTTATTGAGCTTGTCGTGTGTTTGGCCAGGTTCGCAATGGAGCAGCTGGATGACAAGACTTATAAAAGGCAGTGTCTTATTCTTAGGAATAAGGATAAGTTTTTTAAAAATCCAACAACGAGTTGCTTAACTTTCCCAACAACATTTAAAACTGCCTGTGACATCATCCATTACGATTTTATGTTTTTAATGATTATGAAATGACAAAAAGCTCAGTTTTGAGGATAGTGATGATTTTATAAAAAGAAATTGTAAATGTTAATAATGAATAATAATAAGTCTGACCTCTCTCGAGATAAGACACGACTCCCTCTATCTCTCCACCCCCTCGGCCTTTAACCACCAAAATTTAATAGCATTAATCCTCCTAATATGCAAACTTCCCTGCATAATTTCAGAAATTTATGACAAAAAGCAAAGAAGTTATTAAGCTTCAAAGAGAGTGAATGAAATTGTGCCCCCTCCCACACTAACATCCATACATATAGAAAAAACCCCCAAATTTTTTTTGCACTTCTCGACATTTCAAGGTACTAAAATTATACTTTAGTACCTTCAGGGGTCATTATTTGACTGACTGTTAAACATAACAGAGAAAAAGTATAGAAGAGCCAGGAAAGTAAAAATTGTAACTGAAAATGACGAGAGAAATTTACATTAAGTCCAACCACGCTCACACCTGTATCTCCCTCAACTTATCAATACCCTATATATAGAAGTATTCCTTCCAAATTTCAAAATTTTTGGTCCACGGACCCTGAGATATAACAGGCCAACACACGTTCAAAATTTTGGAATTTTTCTTAATGTTTTTGGAATTGGGACTTAAAATCTCAAGAGATGCAAAAGATCCAGAGTCAAAATTGACCAATTACAATACCTTCCCTCTGTTATTTTATAATGGTCGGGAAGTGACATTGGTAAAAATAAACGGCAATTTAACTAGCAAACGGTGCAAATTTTATCCAAATTTAACACCATAATATTACTAACACACATTCATTCTGTTGTTAATTCAGTTATAACTACGAGGTGTCCAAATAGTTACTGTGCGGAGAGAAATTTGTAATGACATATAGCATTACATGCAAGACCTGCAAGTTTACCATTTGGTACCAGTTGACTGTACAGTATTGCATGCAACTTATGGGTCTTGTGCAATACTTTACATATAACTTTAATGTCATTACAAATTTCTCACTGCCAAGTAACTTTTAACCCTGTACGAGTTTATTTATGTAAAAATAATGAAAATTGCACCACAACTTGCTTTTCTGTAGTTTTCTCAACATATGATGCAGTTGTTGTAGAAGTCCATAGAGAATAAAATAGAAAATTATGTCATCCTATCTTCGGTAGATTAGAAACTACATACACACTGCATTATAATACACCATAATTTAAAATTCATCATGTAAACTACAACAGTTTAATTAATATTGTTACACTATATAAAAAATAATTTTGATACCAAAATATTCATTATTTCGGTAGATAAAAAACCTAGATATTATTTTTATCCTTTATTTTCAAAAATGAATCAAGTATATATACAATTTTGGGTATAGTTATTAAAGTCTTCTGTCTGTTTCGACAAAAAGTTCCAAAAGAAAAGTTAGGAGAAAATTAATTAATTCGTTAATTATATGTAAAAATAATTTATACAAAAGCATTTCATTTCTAAAATGAAAATATCAGAAAATGTGCCTATTATCTTCGAGAATGATTGTCTGTTGAGGGTAACCTTCCAATTCGACAAACAGATAGCGATAATCATATTTTCCGTTAGCGTTCTGGAAATTTTTCGTTTAAAATAAATATACGGTTGCAAGAAAAACAAAATTTTATTTGACAAACTGCATTACTTACTTCTTTCATTTCTAGATGAACTACTCCTTTCCGTCTGTTTCCTTCGATGTAAAATTTCATGCGCATGTAATTTAATCCGTCTTTTACATATTCTAAATGACTGAAAATAAATTTAAATAACTAAAATATAGTGTATAATTTTAGATTATTTCTACCCTGCAAATATTAAGAGGTAAAAGATAAAGGTAAAGGAATCTCTTATGGCTGATCATAGACGTTTGTCAAGGAGTGAGGATCTACTGCACTCCCCTATCACAGTTGCAGCACACGGGTGAGGTGGCCGGCCTTATTCCAACAACAAAAGAAAGTAACTTCTGTGTGTTTATTGGAAAAGAATCTAGGTATATATCAGGCCCACACAGAATGCAAAAACCATCTATCAATCAAAATTTAATCCTAATTTGTATGTTTGATAATCCGGTATTATAATGCAATAAATCACTAACATGTGCTTGGTACTAAGAGCACCGAGCCTGTGGAGGTGATATATACGAGTACGATTAAACTTGAGCCCACTAATCAAGTTTGATTAACCTTGTATGAGATGAATTCTCTTAATTTAGTCCCAGTGGACACTATTATTGGCCCAGTGTATGTGAGATTTGAACTGACTCGCTAATCTTAATGATGCTCCAACAATCCTAAGTCATTAGTTCAGGATAAATACATTTAAAACAATATATTACATTAATATCAGTTAATGATAAATTATGTTTAAAATGAGATATCACATAATTGTAACATAATACTAAAATTTACTCAAAGATATTTTTATGTAGATATAAAAAATCTGCAGGTGAATTTATGAGTACAGTTGAAGGGTGAGAGGAGTCACAAAATCTACATCATTGTACACAATAGGGGTTTTAAGGTGGTTGAGGCATCGTCTACATGGACTTTAGTGTCTAGAGGTGTGCAAATTTTTCTTGTAAGCCTACTTACTAATAGCACAAATGAACTATCAGGAAATATTTGCAGAACTTTTCTAAAGTCATTTTGTCAATGTCAAAGGTTTGCAAATTATTGTGCATGTAATTAAAGGGGAGGGAGTTTTCCAAAAGCATATCTTTATACACACTGGAGAGAAAGAGTGTCAAAAGTGGTTGAAAACTACACCCATTTAATAGACAGCCCCTTAAATTTAATAATAAAACTTTATCTTACTTGTTAGTAAAATACAAATAAAAAAATTTGAAGTTTTCTGAAATATAATCAAAAGTTTTTAATAAGTTGCTTTATTACATATCTAAAAAGTTTTCATTAAATTTATTCTTTCAAGTGAAATTTTCTCTCCAGAATCACGTTACTTTTGCAAAAGTTTATTTGTTTGGTATCTAACTGTTCTATTAAAGCCTTGGCAACGTTTTTCCCTCTACTCTAGACTCTGTTTTTTCTCTAAAGCTCCAAAACTTGGATCTCAACCCAAGAATTACAAAAAAATTCTCACTTTTAAAAGCAAAGTTCTTTAGAAAATGTTTGCTCTTGTCTGCAAAAAACAATATGTAGATAGATAATCAGGAGCACTACAATTCTGGAATAACTATAAAGACTTATGTGTAGTCATTGAAACCAAAGTCAAATAAATCCAAGCCATTGGGTAAATCATATGTATATCAGTGGAAAGAAAAGAGAAGAAAACCTTTAAAAGGTTCACTTACAGAAAAAAAGATCTTTGTGTAGTGTATACCTACACACTAAACAAACAGACATTATTTCAATTTAATTTCAGGCATAAAATAAGATTTTCTTATATCAAAGAATTCTAATAAACTGTATCTTAACAGTACAAATTTCTGATATAAAAACAGAAATTTATATGATTATGGTTAAGGTGCCTAGGACATTCATCATCTTGCTGTTCTGGAAATCTGAGCATATGAATTATGAGATAATTTCATGGGTAATGTGTACTGAATGTTGGATCTGTCCCTCACCTCTGGCTGAACTCATGATGGATATCATCACAGATTCAACTATTGTGAATTAAAAGGAAAAAAAGCACCTTACCTGACATGCCTCCTCCTCCCGCGAGCTGTAGTTTCTCCGTATCCTTTAATGGGTTCACCACATGCGTCGATTATTCTCGCATCTTCTTTGCATCTCTTTAAAGCTTTTCCGTATATTACGTTAGGGCTGTGTCCGGAAAATAACTCTCTAAATATGGCGTAAAACATAATTCCTAAAATTAAGACGAGAAAAAAATTTAATTAATTAAGCCAAACAGCAATAATTAAAGAAATATTCGTATAATAAATTATAAATTTGCAACATCTTACTTCATATAATAAGAATAAATGTTAATTAAAATCATTGATTATAATTATAAAGTGAAATATGTGAAAAACACAATTAGTGACCGACAGTATACACCTATATCAGTCTCTCTGTCACATATATAAAGTGGTAACGCAAAAATTTTATTTGCACCATCCTGCAGTAAAGTGTTGGATTACTATAGATGTCAGACTGTAGAGATTCTACTGTAATACAAAACTAATAGATAAAATATACTATTAAAAGTGTACAATAAACAAAACAAAACAATAAAATATTTAGGGAGACACACAGCAAACTTTCACAATGCTCATAATGATGTGGCATGAATTGCTAAAGGTTCATCGGCAGCAAACATTTTAAATGTATAATTAATTAACAAATATCGTGCATTGTCACATTAAAATTTTCTTTTGTCCATTGATTTTTATCATTTAAACTATTTATTTTTGTTTTCTTTTAACAGTTGTACTACTATTTAAAACAATGCAAATATCAACACACATTTGTTTAACTTTGAGTGAATAAACTATTGGCCAAAGTCCACATCACCAGCTTTGTTAACAGCAGTCACATAAAGACAGCAAAAAGCCAAATTTTTAACTAAAATTATTAATAAACTGTAATTGCATACAAGTAAAATTTATACTCTTATTTTTAAAATCATTTCTGCCACTTCCATTGATGTAAAACACTTTTAGATTTATAGTATTATTAATTTTATAGATTTCCTTTAAGGCTGATTCAAATTATAATGGAAAACGACATGACGTTAAAAAATGCCTATCATCACAGATGCGCTCCTGTTCACACTACTATAGTGTATCGCTCCGATATTGACAAGAAAAGTGTCGGATAGGGTTGTAGCTTAAATAAAAAAATGGACTGTACCATAATGCTAATTGGGGCAAATTGCCTATTTAATTTTTAAATAATTCCTCATTGAAATTTAGGAATGGTTATAAGTCTTAAAAGATAATTTGAAAGGAAGCTACATTTGAAATTAGATAAATTAGATATCACAATAACATAATTGCAGAAATGTAATTAAATAATCATACAAGTCAAAGACCATAAGAGGTGACTGAGATTCATGCTCTCTGATCATTTCCGTTAAAATTTTTCCACGAACATCACAACATGATCAAACATTGGGTTGGTAACCCACCGTGCCAGAAAACAAACAACTTATGTCATTGGACAAATGCTCGACTTGCTGTTGCCACTGCAATGAAAGTTACACCGAATTTGACTTGTCCGTTGTGAAATGACATCACAATGGCAAGTAGGTTGTGCCATTACTGCTTGTCACCAAAGAATTCATCATAACGTAAATCTGCTTTTACTCTGTTGCCACGAAGGGTCAAGCCATAGATCACAGTTTCTATTGCTTTTTTCACCATTCTTCCTCAAAGATTCTTTTTATATCATACCCTTATCATTCTAACTTCTTCTTGATCTCATCCTTCCATCTCTTGCGCCCGCTATTCACTTTAATTTCTCTTAAGTGACACTTCAGTTTCTTTCATGGAACCTACTCATTCTCCATTCTCTTAACACGTCCAAACTATCAAAGTCTGAATCTTTCCGAAGTCCAGTTCAACTTCTCCATGTCAATATTTTTCTTACTTCATTTTTTTTACTTTGTCCTTTCTTGTTTTATTCTAGGAAACACTGATGTAGTTCACAGAAACTACATTTTACTCTCTTTTTTTTACATTCAACTTTCGTGCAACTCTTAAAACAATATACAATATTTTATCGTTAAAAGAAAAATGATAAGATTTACCTGTAATACCGATTCCTCCGATGATGATTGCCAAATAACTTGCATCTTTGGTGGTTTGCTTAACTGTAATATCATAAAAATCAGTTTAGAATATGTAATTAAAAAAAATTGAGTATAATCATATATAATCTAGAAATATATATTTGTGTAGCATCATGAAATATCTTAGAATTAACATGTACTGTTTGCTTTATTTCTAATTATTACATTTAACTTAAGATGACAGCTAAACTTCCTTGTATCTAGCCAAACTGCTTTGTATCAATTATTACAGTAATGAGCCATAACATGTGTGAGCAATACACAACATGTGGCACAAAGACATAGGAAAATGAGAAAAACACATCATAAATAAATATGGGAGAAATGAATGAGAATATACTCAAAACACATTCTTAATGTGCACACCAGTGTTTCATGCTTTCAATTTACGATATTTGTGTACGCAAGTGTTCTTTCATACTAAATTGATCATGCTCTACAACTTCATAATTGGCTTTTTACGTATTGTGCATTGTTTTTCAGATAGGAGCGCTAACTTCCAAATTTTACCGCTAGGAACACTTGTCTTATAGCACGTAATCACTTTACTATAACTATACATTATATTTGTAACTGCAGCTATCTGCATTTGTCAGTTATGTGTAGAAGGACTTTTCACATATAGTAATGAGGTCTACATCTATACACAAGTTTTAGTTTGAAAGTCAATGATTTAGTGACAATATTATCTACAATGCAAAACTGTATGTTTATTAATCCACAGATACTGAAGGATCCTCTAATATTTATAAGGAATATCTATCCACAAGTATTTATTGACATATCACAAGGGGTAGTGTTATTTATGAGAATGATACTAGTACATTAAAGTTTAACTATGCGCTTCAATAAAGCATGTGGTTTTGTTATAACAGTATTAATTTTTTAATTACCGTAACTATCATTTCATCGAACTTACTTAGTTTATATTAAATAATGACAAATTTCTTATTTCTAATTTTAACCAATGTAAAGCCACACGAACCGTCGTATAATATCAAGCATGAAAGACGGCAGTTGATGTGGCTTTGTAGTAATGAATTGGGTCTTGGAAGATGTTTATATTTGTATAATCAATGTTATAAATGCTTTTAAATACAAACCTTTTTGTCCGACAGTCAACTGTCCGGCGTCTTTTGCTTTAGAAAGAGTCGAAACCTGTTCTTTTGTCGAATTTTTTCTAACCGACCGTAAAAATATCTTATTCGATGCTGCCATGGACGATTTCTGAAATTCGGCATCGTTGACACCGATATTTAGTAAACCAACTGTCGTGTGACTATGAAGAATTCTTACTCCATTGACAAAATTGGCAGAATAAATATTATTTTGAGAAAATAATACCTAAAATAAAAATAGAGTATTATATTTATTTTCTAGTATGTTTAAGTGTAGAAAAGTAAAATTAAGGACAAAAAGGTATCATGTTTTACAGTTCAATAAATAAACCAACTAAAAAATCAAATCTAATCTCTAATTTCTATAATTTTAGATTTATGTATTATTGGAGAGCCAACATTATTATGTATTATTTTTTTTTTAAACTCTTTTCACCCCATATGCGCTAACAAGGGGATGGCACGACATGGGATCACCAATTTCGATCACACTTGGTGAGGTTATAGTGCATTCCCAACAACTGACATTATATCTATTTAAAAGTTATTTTCAAATATTCATGTACAGTACATATGGAATTCATATTAACATTTATAATTTATTTGGTAAGAGGATTAGATTTAAACAAAATTATCATTATTGAAGGCCAATTTTGTTAACAAAAAACATTTTTATTAACATTATTCAATCTGTTTGCTTTCTGCGAGCACAATTTCGTGAATGATAATTGTCGTAAAGGCATGCAAAACGATAAACATTTTTGCAGTGTGCACATTGATAAATGTAGATTTTTAAAATAAAAAAAGTTACGTATGTCACTAGAAAAACAAACTCGATTAATGTTTAAAAAAGCTTCTTCGTCGTCAACTGATTTGGAGGAGAATTGTTCGTACCGTAACACATTTGAAAATATCAGCGTGCTTATGTTTTTTATTCTAATGCCTTTGCAACTTCTGAAATTGTCGAAGAACCCTTGGCTGCAATTAAGTCTTGATTTTGAAGGAAGCTTCCACAATATGTAAATTTTGTAATATTGTCGTGCAGTGATTCTTCTGGAGAACAAGTTTCGGTGAACAAAACTGGTGATCCCAACATTATGCCATCCCCTCATAAGAGGGCCTTTTTGTAGCAAGCCTATAATGGGTTCAACCAGACCACCCACTGGGGTGGCTGGATTACAAGGAATGGGGCCCTACATATCCAGTCAGACCAGCCTTGAAAAATTTGTAGGATTTTTCAATCCTGAATCCTCGGGCAGCCACCTTAAACACTTGGCAATCCAGTCATCAAAGTATTGGTTAAATAAAACAGGATTTAACTCCCATAGAGAAATTAGATTTAAAACTAGTATGTATGTGAGACAAAGGTAATTACGGAAAAGAATAAGGAAGTGTAGACTCTCGCTAATCCAGCCATTCCTCGCATGGAGAGGTGCTGAATAACTGACAGTGTACAGGCCTGAATGACATTACCTGTTTTTCTTTGGTACCGATTTTTTTTGGAGGCAGATGGACAAATTATATAATATGCTAACATGCAATACTGTGCATTGTAGTGCTTATGATAATTACTTTGCTTTTGCTGTTTTACTTCTTCAACAACAAATTTAAATAACAAACAGCACTGTTGTTTTTATAAGTACACTAGAATCTTGATAACCTGCACAGAGAATACAAGATTGGCAAGAGTACCAGATTACTAAGAGTGTATAGGCCAAGAAGCAATTAACAATTTGACTTGTCATCCTTTGGTACTGATTTTTTTGAAGCTGTATTGTTATTGTAAAAGTATGCAATATTGAAGAATTGAAGTTACAATTACTATATTAAATTTGATGTTACAGTTTAACATATGTATTTAAAAAACATGAATAAAAGACGACAACCATATAATGAATTATGCCATATGTAATCGTGATAATTCGCCATTACTGCTTGTAGTTTTTTTCAGGAAAACTTTTTACCTAATTGACTTACTTAGTTGCACTTCCATGATATCCTCATACTATCCATCTAATTACATAACATTTTGGTCAAAAAAATTTTTTCCACTTATTGCAACCCCTCAAAAAACTGCCACCTTATGCATGTGATAACATACAATTTTCTTCAATTTTTGCACAACTGCATGCAAAAAGTGGTAATTTTCCACTCCGACACCACCAAAAATGATGTCACAGAGGGTTTACACGATTGCCGCAAGAGATAGTCACGACATCACGAATGTTCATTAGCTACACACGACATAACGATACAACAGGACTGCAAATCACTACAACTGCAAATACCAATCTCTGTAAGATGGTCCGGAGTGCTAAGACCTTCAACAATTTAAATGTTCTCACAGCTTCATTTCGTGCCCAAAAATACAAAAAACAATTTTCCATTCCCGAGAATCACCTCAACCCTCCCATCATTTATTTCCAGTCGAACTCCTTTCACTAATGTGATTATTAGATTAAAAGTAATGGGAGTATACTGAGTGGGTTTGGCCAGGAACACGCTAACACAAAGTTCGGTCTCCCTGTGGTAGCCCGATCAAGGATGCCGTTCTGTAAACGAACTCCCGATCACGCGTCCCAGAGGTAGGCCAATTTCGGAGGGCCGTATCTCACGAAGAGTCGCACGTAGAGGTACGGTTCCTTTGACTTTTTTGCTCCCGTAGATACAGTCTACGGCTCCAGTAAGGTCCCAACCGCCTCATTCAGGTAGCCTAAATATGATAAAGTTGTAAAGAGTGGAAGTTACTTTTAGTCAATCTGTATATTTAATGTATATGGACCATTTACCTAAAAGTAACATCTACCGATTCTAGTGTTAAGGATGTAATCAAAGCAAAATATTAGCTTTTAAACAAGATTATAAATAATAGAATTTTAAATTAAACTAATACACATTTAAATCTTCAATGGTTAATCGACTCACCGAGTTGTTGTTTAGTCCATCTTTACAAAAAAATGATCTAAACAACGAATAAATATCGTTATTCTGTATTCGCCTCAGAATCATGGCGAGTTGAAGTGCTCTCGGTATCATGTTTTACAGTTCAATAAATAAACCAACTAAAAAATCAAATCTAATCTCTAATTTCTATAATTTTAGGTTTATGTATTATTGGAGAGCCAACATTATTATGTATTATTTCTTTTTAAACTCTTTCCACCCCATATGCGCTAACAAGGGGATGGCACATGGGATCGCCAATTTCGATCACACTTGATGAGGTTATAGTGCATTCCCAACAACTGACATTATATCTATTTAAAAGTTATTTTCAAATATTCATGTACAATACATATGGAATTCATACTAACATTTATAATTTATTTTGTAAGAGGATTAGATTTAAACAAAATTATCATTATTCAAGGCCAATTTTGTTAATAAAAAACATTTTTATTAACATTATTCAATCTGTTTGCTTTCTGCGAGCACAATTTCGTGAATGATAATTGTCGTAAAGGCATGCAAAACGATAAACATTTTTGCAGTGTGCACATTGATAAATGTAGATTTTTAAAATAAAAAAAGTTACGTATGTCACTAGAAAAACAAACTCGATTAATGTTTAAAAAAGCTTCTTCGTCGTCAACTGATTTGGAGGAGAATTGTTCGTACCGTAACACATTTGAAAATATCAGCGTGCTTATGTTTTTTATTCTAATGCCTTTGCAACTTCTGAAATTGTCGAAGAACCCTTGGCTGCAATTAAGTCTTGATTTTGAAGGAAGCTTCCACAATATGTAAATTTTGTAATATTGTCGTGCAGTGATTCTTCTGGAGAACAAGTTTCGGTGAACAAAACTGGTGATCCCAACATTATGCCATCCCCTCATAAGAGGGCCTTTTTGTAGCAAGCCTATAATGGGTTCAACCAGACCACCCACTGGGGTGGCTGGATTACAAGGAATGGGGCCCTACATATCCAGTCAGACCAGCCTTGAAAAATTTGTAGGATTTTTCAATCCTGAATCCTCGGGCAGCCACCTTAAACACTTGGCAATCCAGTCATCAAAGTATTGGTTAAATAAAACAGGATTTAACTCCCATAGAGAAATTAGATTTAAAACTAGTATGTATGTGAGATAAAGGTAATTACGGAAAAGAATAAGGAAGTGTAGACTCTCGCTAATCCAGCCATTCCTCGCATGGAGAGGTGCTGAATAACTGACAGTGTACAGGCCTGAATGACATTACCTGTTTTTCTTTGGTACCGATTTTTTTTGGAGGCAGATGGACAAATTATATAATATGCTAACATGCAATACTGTGCATTGTAGTGCTTATGATAATTACTTTGCTTTTGCTGTTTTACTTCTTCAACAACAAATTTAAATAACAAACAGCACTGTTGTTTTTATAAGTACACTAGAATCTTGATAACCTGCACAGAGAATACAAGATTGGCAAGAGTACCAGATTACTAAGAGTGTATAGGCCAAGAAGCAATTAACAATTTGACTTGTCATCCTTTGGTACTGATTTTTTTGAAGCTGTATTGTTATTGTAAAAGTATGCAATATTGAAGAATTGAAGTTACAATTACTATATTAAATTTGATGTTACAGTTTAACATATGTATTTAAAAAACATGAATAAAAGACGACAACCATATAATGAATTATGCCATATGTAATCGTGATAATTNGGTCCTAAAACGAATTAGTTAGAAAACAAATGACTATTATGTTTAACATACGAGTATTTAGATTTTTACAGCTATGGTGAGAAACGTTTAAAATCTACAACAGCCCTGTCGCGTCCTTTCAGATATACTAATGATGCGACAAAAGAGGTATTTGAATTGACCGGTATCGGCACCCTGGGGATTTGGCAGTGCGTGCATGCACGCTCTGCAACCGTCTTCGATTCCATTCATTAGCCACTCGTAGGGAGCTACTTGACTAAGTGCATTGTTTTAAGATTTAAAAAGTAAAGAATATTTTATATTTTTATGTACATTTCTTTGCAAAGCTATACTGTATTTAATTATAATTTTCTTTAAAAGTATATTCGTATAATTGGAGAATATTTTGTATGTACCGGTACATCCACCACATATTTTATTTCATCGAGTAAGTTTTTATTATTTTATTTTTAATTGTAGCTCTTATATCGTGGGTAGCGATTCGGAATGTAATTGTGATATTAAAAATGCATTTAGAGAAGTCTACGGTTTTTACTGGCTTATCGAATAAACGATACGAATGGACCCTAGACCGTCACTGACGCGCGATTGACTGATTGCCTCTGGATGTCGGCTTCTTACAGAAACACAGCTTCCCTTTCATCAAATGTCACAGCACGCCCCTGCTCTCACTACTCGGCCGCCCCATTGTTGGTCTGGCCGAATCCACAATGGACTTTCTATAAAAGCCTCTTAATAATTATAGAGCGAAAAAACCCGTATACTACTGATAAGAATAACCGATGTAATAACATTATGCGGCTGAAAATATAGATAGACCCAATTTGGAGCTCGTAGTGAAGCCGATTTACTAAGAGAACCTTCTTTAGCAAATCCATTATGGATTTGGCCAGGCTAACAATGGAGCTCCGGGTGGTGGAGGATAGGGTCCGACATATCCGGACGGACCCCACCTGAAAAATTCCTAGGGCTTTTTCGACCTGTCCGGATTCGATGCCGGATCTCTAGAGTGGTAGGCAGACACCTTGACTGCTCGACCATCCGGTCGTCTACTTTCGCCAACAGTAGGCCACGTGGAGTTTTCTTGGTTTTCTTCACGTTTGTAACACCTAAGCAAGGACCCATGGAAAAACCTTCCGGGAAGCATCATCCCTTGACATACCGCCTGCGAGTTGCTTTCCGTATACAAACAACAAATAAACAGGCCCAGAATGAGTCATCTGAGTAGTGAGGGACGGGGTTTGACATATCCTGAACGAACCTCCATCACAAAATGCTTGTGATAGAGGTGAATATTTAAGCCTAATCATCTTCAAAGGACTTCTTGCAATCATGTAAATAACTTCGTCCAAGAGATGATGAAACTGAAACCATCATTTTTCGGGGCTTACTGTTAATTTCATGAATAATTTGTTAATTAATAGGCTGGATAGACGAACGGTTAAGATGGCAGCCCGTGATCTTGTGGAACCCGGAATCAAATCCGGGCAGTCCCAAATTTGCAGCAATTTTTCAGGGATCTGTCCCAGATATGTCGGGCTCCCTATTGTGGGCCTGGCCAAACTCATGTTCTGTTGGTGCTTACAGAACGCAATGAATTAAAAGTAAAAACAAAAACCAAAAAAAGGCTCTGCTAACCGTTTTTACGGTCTTAATGTGAAAAAAGATATAATTGTAAATATTAAAAAAAAATACAATAGTTAGTATTGTTGCTTAATCTGTTTACATTAAAATAGAATTAAGTTGAATGCTCTTAGTGCATGAAAAAAACAATAGAAATCCACACAATGCATATACTGTAAGTTTAATATGTTATTTAGCAGATTAAAACTTTTAAGATTCTGGCATCTTCAATAGACTGACCATTTGCAGTTTTTCCAGATTTTCTTCAATTATCTAACCCCTAAATCGGATCGGTTTTCCATAGAAAGATCTTTCGGGAGACATCGTCCTTGTCAATCTCCTACGTGTTGCGTTGTCCACCATTGTGGTCATTATTCGGTTTGTTGGATCAACTTATAGTAACATATACTCAATCGTTTAGCTAGAACGTTACTTTCCACAAAATATTAAAATTATTTGTTTCTCCATTTCCATCACTACGAAGTCTTCTTTCTAATGTTAGATAGAGCTATTTGGGCAGTGATAAAAAAATCTGGTGCATATAGCATACCCCTCAGCAAAAGAGGGCCGGATGGCCGAGCAGTCAAGGTGGTAACCTACCGTCTGGGGGACCGGGTTCAAATCCGGACGGGTCGATAAATTCACAGGAATTTTTCGGGGATAAGTCGGACCCCGTCCCTCACCACCCGGCCGCCCATTGTAGGCCTTGACGAACCCATAATGGGCTTGCTAAAAAGAGGCCCTCTTAGTGCCCACAGGGCGGAAAGAGTTAAATTGCACATGTAATTAATGGACGACCAAAACACATTGTGGGGCTCGCCGACGATAGTGAGGAATAGTAAGGGAAGGGGCCCGATATATCCGGGATAAACTAAAGCTAGGTTTCCACATACAGTAGTTATTGGCATCAGTTTATTTGGGTATGAAAACGTGCAGATTTAGACGACGCCATTGGACTGGTACCAATGATCATTGTGCTGGAAAAAACACGCAGCGGATGTACTTTTTTGCGCCTATTACCGGAAAATCTTGTGTTACTAATACTCAGTGCATTGGAAGCCTAGCTTTTGTAGCCCTTGATGGATATAAAAAGGATATAGTAGAGCACGCAATATGGAAAAAAGTTAAAGTGGTTGTCCAGTACCCAATGACACATTATAGTTCTCGGCAAAAGTAAATTTTAGGGGCTCAAGTAAGTGGCTGTAAATCAATTGTTAGAGAATAGACAACTAGGCCAAACATATATAGATGCAGATTGCGTGGAGAAATCATCCAGCAATGAGATCTGAAAGATTCGTTATACGGGCCTCTAACTATACAAAATTTCAAGGAAACAACCTCCTTAATCCGAGGAACTCCACCATTTGTAAAGAATACAAAAAATCCGGGGCCTGTCAAAATCAGCAAAAAATAGCAAAAGCATCACTTTTACGTCAATTTGCCACCCTTTTTAAATTTTGTTTTTATTGTAAAGCTAAACCCATGACGTAAAGGAGTGCACTTTCCCGACGAAACCGACAGGGACGCACGTGCCCAATAACAAACTAACGAATTCCTATTACTTAAAAAAAAAAAAAAAAAAAACAGAGCTCAAATTACTATAAAATTTAATTTTTACGTAAAAATTCCGTAACCAAAATTCGAATCACTTAATTATTATAAATTTTTCGTACGTTATTAAACATTCCTTTCTGAGATTTAATAAAATAGTCGGCAAAAATTCCGGCAGAGGGAGTAAAATTCCAGCGAATGAACTCGGGTTAGAGACTGGAATAATCTGGAACCAGAGTGTTACGACTGGAGAGAAAAGAAGTCGGTTTCGGGGGGTGAGGGATTCGCTCGTGGAAAATGCACTTCTGAATTATATTTGTCAAAAAAAAAGTATCTTTTTTTTAATTATCAAGACTATATTTATTCTTATCAATCAAGATTATTTTTTTTTCTTTTTTTATTACAACATTTATAAATGATGTGCTTATTATGCTTACATTGTCGAGGTAAGTCATCATTGCAGAGTTCGGACGTCGAATGTTAAGATTCTTGTCTTTTTTAAAGAAATTTAAAGTAATTATAAACGTATTTAATTAATTAAATGACGTAAAAATCGTCAAATAACCATTAAATCAATGGAGTAAGTAGCAACGTGGATTGGTGAAATTGATGAATTTAAGAAATGAGTCAATTTCATATGCAACGTGAATAACTCATTCGACCCTTTTTGTTCTCCAATATTTAAAAATTTACTCTCGAAACTTAATTAAAACGGAATTTTAATCGATAAATTCGAATTATTAACTAATTTATTTATTTTTTTCTAACTTCTTTTATTAACAGAATTATTCTACATCTACATCTTAATTGCATAACATTAGTACAAGTAATTAAATATTCATATATTTTCAATAAGAGTTAGTTCAATGTGTATACATTTAATTAATTTGAATTAAAACTAGTTTAAAATTTTACATAATTAACTTTCGAGTGCGGAGACGGTCTGCGTCGGTGTAATTACCGGAAAAATTTTCCTCGCGGCTTCGGTTTAAAAAATTCTCTCTACTCCTTTGATTTTAATTAAATTTCGATGCACGTGATTGATTCCTTGAAACCACAGTTCGGCAATTTTCTACTAAGATTGCTCGCGTTTATATGCCGTATTGTGCCCACTGATGCTATCGTATTTTATTTTAGTTTAATGATTCGGTTATCTTGATAGTTATTTATTTAAAAATTGATTTTACGGTTATTTAACTTTTAAAGTTGCTGGTTTAAAAAGTTGTTTCTATTGTTTGGGTTGCTTTTTAAGGTTTGTATAAATTATGAAGGCTCTAAGTTTCTATAATTAGATGTACGGTGGCACCCCATTTAGTTGGATTCTGTTAATCCGGATTATAAAACTAATCCCCGTCTGGGAAAATATGAGAGATAGACGTACGGAAAACTTATAAATGTGAAAAAATTGAAGAACTAAGTACATTCTTCTTTGGGTGTAATGTTGTGGCTTGCAAGAATAGACTCGTTTGTGTGAATTGGCATGTGGTGATTGTTATGCATTCCGCGGGAGTGTTCTTTGAGTTAATACCTTGTTGAATCTTTTCTAATCTTTGAAAATTTTTAATTATAAATTGTTACTTTCCTGTTGTATAAAAATGCTGTTTTTCTCACCGCAGTCTGTTAAAAAGTTTATTGCTTGTAACCTTGTGCATTATTCTTCACTTGATACGCACGGCTGCTATTGTTTTGCCGAGTTTCGATAGCCTTCAATCTTTTGCAAAGTAAATGCCATGGAAGTGACATCTAGAAGAAAGAAAATGGCTGTTACAATGGATAAGAAACTAGAATTATAAAGTAAAATTTATATAAACTGTGTTATTTATGATGATAAAATTTTGTTCATCTGGATTAGACCAAGTCTTATTTCAGATGGATAAAAGGGTTTTCACTTTACAAGGAACCCAATAAGTATTACCAGACACTTATTAGGCTACTGTGAGACTAATTAATCGGATATTAAGCAATTTGGACTCGAGATAGCTGGTTACGCCATTGTCTTTGTGTTAAATTTAGTAATTATAAATTAAATTTTAATTTAGAATATTTGGGAAGAAAGGATTAGCCTGGAGTGGAACTTGAACGCACAACTCCTGCCACCATGCAAATATGTTGCCAGCTATGCTCTAAGTTTTGTAGAATTGCAGATATATAAATTTAATTTTTATTGAAATTGATTATTTTATGCTTGTCGTATTGGTTTTCTAGTCTTTAAATTAAAATATTTAAGGTGAAATTTGTTTTGTAAATAATTATAAGACAATTTTATTAGTTAAACATATTTAAATTAATTTGAAAAATTAAGTAACAAAAATTAGATAGGTAAAGTGAAAAATACTTACTAAAGATTTGTTTAAAAATAAATTTGGGTAAATATGAAAATATTAACAAGTATTTTTATATAAAAAAAAGCACTGAGATAATAGCTTTAGCATAGTTCATATGTATCTTGTTAGACATTTGATGCCAAGTATCCTGCCAATCTTTTACTTTCACATACATTTAGCTAACAGCCAGTTTAAACATAGATTAGTTGTTCTTATTGTGTTTGAGCTGTATATTTTTGCTGATGTTACATTACTCTACCACCAGACAAATCATAAGAAAAATTGCGATGAGTTCTGTACACTTCGGCATTGTCTGGCACCAGAGAATGCTGAAATGTTGTCAGACTATCTTTGGCTCTGTATCTGGTGTTTGGCTACTATACAGATGTGCGAATGTTTCCATAAGATTCCATACACTTCGTAATTGGATATCCGACACCAGACAGTCCCGTCTGGTATGTGCAAAAGAGTACTTACAGTTCATTTGTACGGAATACATTAGCATGTAAAGCAGGGGTCTCAAACTCAAACGCAACAAAGGACCGGTCAAATAGATGTATATCAGATGAGGGTTGAATTCGGTATTATTCGATAAGCCAAAACATACTGTAAACTACAAAAAGGCCATTTTATTGTCAGGCCTGTATGACTTAGGATATCTATCTAAACAGATGTTTGATGTTAGAAACATTGATTTTTAGAAAAGTAATCAAGGCCATGGGCCGGATACGAAGCTTTAACAGGCTACCAGTTTGCGATCCCCTAGTGTAAAGGATCTGAAAAAGTGATATGTGCAATATTAGAGTAAGATGATTCAGCACAAAGTGCAAGTTAGACATCAGAGCAATTCAGTTTATTTTTCTATAGATAGCCTTGTAACTTGAAAAATGTCATATCTCATGTTAGTGATTTTCATACATTTCTAGAAGTGTGATGAATAAACAAGTAGTTAGGTCTGTTATTAATGAAAAACTCTATGAAATATGACTTTGTTTTTTTTTTTTTTTTTTAATGATAAAACGCCAGTTAAAAAATAAAATGCATTGACTACTTGTTTTGATCGGAAACATCAGTGCGATTACATTGATGTTTCCGATCAAAACAAGTCATTTTAAAGAGTTTAAGAAAATTACTTTTATTAGAATTTGTTAGTTAATGCTAAAAGTAATTTTTTTTAATATATTCTTAGATATTTTGTATTTTAAAGACCAATAATAATAATTGTTTAATTTTTTTATTTTGTTGAAAATTTAGTTTAATTTTTTTAAACATGTGATAGTTTTTGACAGTTCTAATTAAGTCAGTTTATTTTGATGATTAAAATGACTAAAATTTTGAATTTGCATGCTTTTCTTGTGCAATACTTTTTTCGATATTCAATTTTTATACATAAATCTTACTAAATAAAAGTTCATACTTAGGACGTTCACTAGAGGATTCTAGCTTTTCAGCTTTAAAATAAATATTTCTATTAGTACATTACTTTCTACATAGTAAATATTAATTTTATTTATTATGCATATTCTTATGTACATTTTTTGAATTAAAAGGATTTGTATTATTTACAAATATCTACTTTTGATTTATTGAATATTTTAAAATGTTTCATTCTAAAATCTCAAATTTTTGTTAGTGAGTTTTTTCTACCGTAGATATGCGTGGTCAGTCATATTATAAAACTTTAAAGGTGAATCATAATAAGTACAAAAGTACAGGGTGATTCACTTGGGACTAAACACTTTGTTTAACACCTCACGATTACACATTCCCATTTGAATAACATGAATTGTAATGTATACTTTGGTCAGCCGTTTCGTCACGAATAAATTGTCCCATCTGTGTTTTATGCTCGTGTTTTCATTCTACACAAATATATTTTATATAAGAAGTGTTCAGTCTCGAGTAAATCGCCCTGTTTTATTTAAATATATATTTTAAAAGCATGAACATAGCTTTCTCTCTAGAAGGAATATTATTTCTAAACTTACTACTACTATAGTGAATGTGTACATCAGAATTCGGTTTTCTTTTCAATGAAAAAGTACATCTACAACATGCTGTAAGTGAAAAATTTTTTCTTTATATGTTAATATTCATTTAAGATATTTCTTTCTATTTACTAATTAAATCATAGTTAATTGCAAAAGTAATCCATTAAGAATCCATTCGAAAACAAGTATGATGATTTGTAAATTTTGCCATCTCAGTCGTAAATAATTCATTTAATAAAAATTTTACGTAACATTTAAAAACTGGCCTGTTGCCTTTTAGTTCTAAGACAAGAATTTTATAAACTAAAAATAAAAGTTTATATTTTAGACAAAATAGTTTCTTAATTAATGATGATTTCCAACTTTTAGTAGATCTTTTCTTTGCAGGCTGCTATTGGAACCCATGTTTTATCCTGTCCTTTTTATATTTTTCTGCAATTTCATGGGAAGTTTTTGTGTAAATGTAATGTGCAACCAAACTGAAGGATATGGCTGAATATATCAAATTAGCTTTTAAACTTCAGCAAATATATGTTAAAATAAATGTTTTTGATCTTCAAGACCTCCTTCAGATAACATTTGAAAAAATAATAGTGCTTGAAACTTCAAATATCAAAGATTCTACTTTTAAAAATGGACAACTGCCATATTCAAAAGACAGTTGCTCATCTTTGAAATTTCATAAGGAACTTCTCGTACGTTTTCTCTATTTTTGTGGATTAAGTTGGGGGGAAACATGAGTGTAGTATTATAGACAATGGTAATAAAGTGCATCTGAAAAAGTCGGGCAAATTCTCTGGGCTGGCTTAGCATGCACTGCATGCTTAAGAGAAAGTTTTGACTGTCAATATACTTTTTATATGAGAACAAATATGCCAATAATAATTTATTCTAACGTATAAACTCTTTTATCATTTGTGTTTGCTTTTACATTGACAGCTAGTGGTTAGCCGTTTTAAGTCAGTGCCATGCTTGCGGGAACTCGATCGCTTGCTCGCGAGGAGGTTTGCTGCGAGTGCGTGCGCATGATGTCATTTGAAGCATTTAACACGGCCAAATTGGGTTCCACAAGCTTTTGATACAGTCAGCATAAATGTATTGTGTAGTTTCAAATGTAAGTTGTGAATTGTT